TGGCCTTCTTGTGCGCTTGCCGGCAGTCCTTGTAGGCCTTGATCTCGTCTTCGCACTCGTCGCCGTCGCGGAGACCGCCGCTTTCCTGGTTCTTCTTCTCGACGCACCTGCATATGGCGGGCATGAGCACACGTCGGTAGCATCGCATCTGCTTACGCCAAGTACGCATCGAGGGCCGACGCACAGGGGTCGTTCACGGGCGCGCTGGTCTGGTTGCCCATTCAAAAACACTTGATCAAAAATGGCCACCGGCGTGCAGGGTACCACCGCTCAATTTTGTACTAGGGGGCCCACCGAAAACATGGTGTTTACGGCACTCGTATTTTCGGCATTTTGTGTCACCGCACGGCATGTGCCGCATGGTATATGCCACTTTGAACGCGAGATTTCCAATTTGCCGAAATTATCGACGCGAGCGAGCATGGAGCGCCTCCTCGACCGCGAGTTCATGCGCATCGAGTGCGCGCTCGAGAAGAACTTCGAGTACCTCGATAAGTACGACGTGGACTCTCCAACTCGATGAGCTCAGCGCCTCTAGGCTGGATCGGCAGCGGGACGAGGCTCTGCTGCGCGAGTACGAGCGGTCCTTGGAGCCGCCGCCAGCCACAGATGCCGCCAAGCCCAAGAAGAAGGCCGCGCCCAAGAACACGAGCATGTATGTCATGGGCCTTACGACTTACATTGCCTGCAAACAGCTCGGTACGTTTCGCTCAACATGGTTTCGCGACCGACGCTATACTTCAGAGATGGTCTGTGCACGCCTTGGCCGCGTCAAGCGCCTCAAGTTTTACAAGGACGACCGCGGTGGGCTCAAGGTACGGTCATCCGCTTCTTCCCACTTGACGAGTTCAACCTGCATGGGTGCAGGGTGACGCACTGGTGACGTTCATGACGCATGCGATGCTGGAAACCGCGATCGCCAAGGTACGGGTCCGGCCGACCGATGGACGCTCATGCTTCACAGCTCAACAATGCAGAGATCAAGCCTGGTGTTCGCATCACGTACGACATTACGCGATCCGATCTCTGCTTACGCTAATGGACGTCTAGTGCAAAGGCGGCCGAGTTCAACAAGAAGGAAGAGGTGGAGCCGTCTCTTGCGCCGCTTGAGCCGCCGCCGATGGCCGAAGGCGCCGACGCAGTCACAGCGTTTCTCAACGAAATGCAGCAGCGGCTATCCATGCCAGTGGGTGCTGCACCAGACGCACCGGTCGTACGAGACGCACCAGTAGCCGCTGCACCCGTCGTCGGTCCGCCCGAGCTTCCGCCCACGGACGAGCACGTGCTCGAGACGCCGTCCCGCTCGATTCTCTTGTACAACATTGTCGACGATGGCGACGACGAAGAGAACTTGGACTTGGAAGACGACTTGCAGATGGAGTGCAGCAACTACGGCCAGGTCACGCGGCTGCAGATTTTTCGCGATACGAACGTGGTGGCCGTCGAGTTTGAAGCGCTCCCCAGTGCGATCAAGTGCCTCGAGGTCATGAACGGCCGGTGGTTTGGCGGTGCGCAGATCCGCGCGTGCTATGACCCGTCCAAGCCCGAGGAGCCCGAGGACGAAGACACGAAGCTCCTTGCGTTTCTGGCGTCCGTGTAATGATTTGCTATACAACACTACTGGGTTGTTTCGAAATATGCGTCGAAGAGCACAAAGCGGTTGCTCTGCGGTACGAACGAGCGCAGCCCGAAGTACTTGGCGAGGAAGGGCCCGAGCTTGGGCGACGGCCGGTCGTACGCAAGGTCCTTGGCGCGTAGTTGGAGCCGCTACGAGACGTCTGTCGCCTTGATGTACAGCGTCGATGGCGTGTACCTCGAGCATCGATCGAAAGAGCATTGCGCCGTGGCCATGGCGCTGCTGGACGACGTAAAAGTCAAGGACGCAGACCGGGTCCATCTCCTTGTATGCTCCTGCAGCTGTCTAGATCGGTCATGAGGCGTGCCATGACCACGCAAGGTATTGCACCATGTAGTAGAGGTGCTTGGTACCCGTCTTGAGGTACCCCACAATCTCGCCATTTTGCCGATCGTCGACGAGGACGTGGACGATATGGCCTTCGTCAAGGCTCTTGGGCGATTGCACGAGTACCATGGACGTGATGGGCTGGCGCAAGCCTTGCGCCTACGCCGTAGTGGGAGAGGTCCATGCCAGCAACGTCGTACCTCGGCCGATTGCTCGCCCAAGCGGTCGATCTGCGCTTCCAGTCGCTCGCGGTCCGACGGCAGCGTCGCCAGCAGCTCGTCCAAGGTGCAGCAGCGCATGCTGGCAGGACAGCTAATCCCACGCCATTCCAGGTCCATATCTCCCAGCTGCGCCAGATGGTTGCGTGGGTCCGGTTGCGTGTTTTTGGACACAAGACGCACCGCAAAATCTCCATATTGAAAGAGTGGCCTGCACGACGATGGTGCTCCTGCAAGTCCTCGCGCGCGCGACCAAGCCGGCCTTCATCCTACGCTCGATGGCGCCGACGAGCTCGGTGCTTGGCAGCGCTGACCAGCGCCGCTGCATGGGCCGCGGTCCGACGATCCAAGGCAAGAAGAGCCTCACGGACGCGGTACGAGCACCCTCTCGAAGGTCATCGTCTCATGCTGCGCGGTCTGTAGAAGCGGACGCTGCTCTTCGGGAAGCTCGCTAAGGAGCTCATGGTCACGTCCAAGCTCACGGCGGGCGATACCAACAACATTGTACAACGCTACGAGACGCTTCATCTCTCATGCGGTGACGCGTAGCGCCTGGCGTCGGTGATTTCCAAGGCCAAGGCGGCCAACATGCCCCGCGACAAGATCGAGTACGCGGTCAAGCGAGGCGTCGAGGGCAAGTCGGGTGTCATCACCGAGACTGTCGAGTACGAAGCCACGGGGTCCCACGGCAGCGCCTTGATCGTAAGACGTCCATCCTCTCGAGCCATGGAGATCACATAGCAGGTAGATCGAAGCGCTCACAGACAACCGGAAGCGCACGGCGCCGGCGCTGCGCCACATCCTGAGCAAGCACAACGGCAACCTCGGCGCCAACGGGTCCGTCGCCTGGATGTTTGAGCGCAAGGGGTACTTTGAGATCCAAAAGCCGGACGACGACGCCTTTGCGTGGGACGAAGAGAGCGTCATGAACCTGGCGGTAGCCGTCCTCCATATTCCATTGTCCTTGCTCATACTGATCGTCTTTGTAGATTGAAGCGGGCGTCGACGACGTCGAGTACCGCGAGACCATGGCGCAGGTACACCTCCCGTTGCCCGACGATTGGAGATGCATGAGCCACCGCCTGTAGCTCATGTGCGAAAGCAGCGAACTCGCGGCCGTGCGCACCAACCTCATGGAGGCCGGCGTCGTGCCGCAGGTGAGCGAGCTCATCTATTCGCCCAAGGTACTACTCCATGATGGTGGCCATCGCATCTCATGCGCACATGGCAGGAGTACCTGGTGCTCGAAGGCGACGCCAAGGCCGAGTTCGACACGCTCCTCGAGGTACGCAATGCGGATGTGGCTCTGGCATCATGCGGCGGGCATGGGCGTAGGCGCTGCAGGACAATGAAGATGTCAACGACGTCTACCACAACGTCGACGAAGACTAGATCCGACGAAGAACAGACTAAATAAGACGAACGATTACAAATCCACGAGCGTATGCGGCTCGTCGTCGGCGTCACGGCTGCTGCTACTCGACGCGTCATCGGGCTCGGGCTCAACGACCTCAAACACATAAATATCCTCGAGCGCGCTCTCCTCCGACGGCCACGTCACGCTGCGGGTCGTGTTGCGCTTGTGCTCCTTGACGACAACGCCCGACATGTCGGCGAATTCGAGCGGGATACGCGCCTTGGCTTCGGCCAGCTGCCGCTGGAGCGCGGTCTCGGCCGTCCGCTTCCGGATGTTCTTGGCGCGCGACGCAATGTCGCTCGCGACCCCGAGCTTGAGCATGCCCCGGGGCCCCTGCGTCTGCTTGTAGCCGCCCAAGAATGCCACCATGTTGGCGTTGCCGCGCGCCTTCTTTGGCGGCGGCCGGAGGAGCCCGGGCGCGGCCGCGGGGACGGGCGGTGGCGTCACGGGTGACGCGACCAGGGGTTCGTCAACAATGGGTTCGTCGACGACGTCGCTCTCGGCATCGTCGAGCGCCTTGGCAATGTCCTCTTCCATGGCCGCGTCCTTGGTCGCCGACTCGCGAATGTACGACGAGACCAAGTCGACGTTGCGAAGCGAGCTAAAGATGCTGTGGTTGTCGTCGTCGTCGTCGTCGTTGTCGTCGAACGTCTGCGTCGTGAGGCGCGTCGGCGTCGGCGGCGTCGCGACAAGGATCGATTTCTTGGGCACCGCCGAGAGGTCGGGCGCGGCCAGCGCCACAGACACCTGCTTCTTCTCCATCGACGGCGGCGGTTGGTGTTTGTGGTGCTTGTTGGAGAGCTCCCACCACTTCTTGGACGACTTGTCCTTCTTCGCCGGGCTGTTGGGCACCGCGTCCTTGTCCTTTGTACACATCTTCTCGAGCGCGACGGCGACCGGGTTGGGCTTTTTGCTGCTGCTGTCGTGCTTTTTCGCAAAGTCAAAGAGCGAGACGCGGTCCCGACCGCCCTCCGATTGCGTCAGTTCGTCCATTACCAGCTTCTTCGACCCGTTGCTGCCGTCAAAGGACAGCGACGGCGTCATGGACGGCTCGGGCGTCGAGTTGACGAGCGTCTGCCCAAGGCTGCTGCCGACGGTCGCGCCCACGGCCCGGCGTGTGTTGCGTGGAAAATTGAGAAGCGCGGTCGACTTGGCAGGGAGGCGAAGCGACGTGTCGCCGTTGCGCGCGGGCGAGTTGCCGTGGCGCACGTAGCCAGAGTCACGCCCCGCGACCGAGAAGCCCCGGCTTCGGTTCGATGTCAAGTTTTTGGGCCCTTCGAGCCGCGACAACCGGTCAGGCAAAACTGGCCGAGGCAACGTGTCGTCGATGGTCGTGTTGCGGTGCTGGACCGGGTTCCTGCTGTTCATGACTTCGTCAAGCCATGTCTCGGTGGGGCGAGGGGCATACTCTTCGTCGCCCGTGCGGCTACTGTCACTTTTGACCGAGTTGGTGCGCTCGAGCACGGTCGTCGTGTAGATCATGCACTTGGACACTGGTGTGTCAATGTCGATGAGCAGCTCGTCCGTGCTCTCGATAGGGACGTCGTCCGCGGGCAGGCTCATGCTGCGACCCCGCGCATAGCTGCCCACGCCTCGGAGGCCGCTGCTTTCGCTGCGCCCGCGCGACATGGCCAGCGGGCGGGCGCCAGTCTCGGTGCGTCGCCGCAAGTGAACGCTGGATCGCTCTAAGATAGCCGCGCCGCATAAGCTTCCAGGCGCCTTCATTAGCATTGTCATGGAGGTACCCGACTCGCTTCCGGTCCACTCGGGCGGACTGCCGCCGGGCAGCTTGACCGGCTGGAAGAACGTCGTGGTCATGACCCGCGGATGGGACTAAAAAGAAAAACTAAGTAGGTGCCCCTACTCTGCCGGGCCATAAACACTCGCATCGGAATTATATTACCTATGCGTTTGTATACGTACTTTAAAAGATACGATTCCGACGTGCTGATTCGCTCCCGTTATCCGGACGACGCGTTCGTTCTGGATCTTTTTATTTTATTCGTTACAAATTACAAGACAAATGCAGCCATTTTTTCACCGCCACCAGCCGCAACCGGAGGATCAGGAAGCGTAGCAAATGGAATAAGAAAATAAAATACACTCTGCGACCGTTCGAGCTGCGTGGCGACGCCTCCAGCAGCAGCACGAGGCAGGACAGGAGGCAGATGCTAATGATGGAGGCCAAAGATCGCGGATGAATGACGTCATGGGTGGAAGGCTGTCGTCGTCAGGAGCAAGCGAATTTACAGCACTCTCTTGCGACATGTCACCGGTCATGCATATGTCCTCCGAGTGGTCGCCGCCATGCGATCTCACGCATCGATTGAAGGCAATCACTGCTATGTCACATGGCCATGAAGGCCATCGCCGATGCTTGGTTCACCTACTTTACGACAGAGGAGACGCAGCAAGAGGACCAGGTAGGGCAACGACATGCTCGGCTTCAATGCGTGTTACCAACTGCAATTACAAGCGCGAACAAATTTGAGCGCCGAGACCACCCTTTGGCGCGATCCTACACCGATTACACCTACGCCGTCCTTGAAGCATTGCGGGACGGGCGATGTCACAGTCGTTATCGGCGTGTACACTGCACCGATGACACCACCGAAGAGACACGGATGTCTGTGCACTCATTCTCAGTTGGCCGCTATCTTGACCGCGCCGTAGCCAACGACGCTGCTTCCTCAGGTGCTCGTCGAGTGCATACCCAGCAACCAGCCCAGCAACAATGGTTTGAGCTGATAGGAGATGCGCCGACGAGCTGCGCCGACGTGGTGATGGCCCAGTCGGACAGACGCAGCTCGAGAGCGATGGGACCTCTTCGCCGTGGAGCAGCTGAAGCGCACCAGTCGCGACGGCGAGCGCGGTGGACGTCGCTGCAGCGACGGGTGGGCTTCGGCAGCCACGGCTCGACGTGCGTCTGATGCACTGAAGCTTGTGGTCTGATCGACAGTGAGCTAGCAGCTTTGAGAGCGCGCTGTCCAGTTGCTGTGCATATAGCTGGCACATGCAAAATGATCGGCTTAAACAGCGCCGATCACCTCGCTGCACCTATGAAGGCGGTCGGGCGAGCCGTGGCATGGGCTCGGCAAAGCCATACTGCGCGACGCTTGCGAGGACTCGTCGAGGACTCGGGCGTCGCGTCCCGACGCCACGTCCGTGAAGGTCGCGATCTTTTGCGCAGTCCGGATACCGCAATCGTATTTTAATTCGCCTATTTTTACTCGCCTTGCTTTTCCGGAGAGCTTCGCATTTGCACAAGCCGCAGGACGAGGGCCCATGGACCAGTTGCAGCCGATCTTCCCCGGCATCCCCGCGCCCGTGCTCGAGCAAGTGGTAGGCGTATGCGGTAGGAGACCTCATGGCGATAGACCATTAGCTCCGCATCTGCGACGATAACCTCGAGGCGGCGACCGACTACCTCCTCGAGAACGACTGGGAAGAGCTCCAGATGCACAACAACACGCATGGCGCCGACCATCCTGCGAACGGCCAAGACGGAGCGGGCCATGCGCATGTCGAGGATGACCTCGACGACGGCGATGAAGGCGATGAAGGCGAAGGCGATGACAACGATGAAGACGAAGACGATGACGATGAAGACGACGAGGACGAAGACAACATGTACTACGAGTCGGGCGACGACGGCGAGGCCGGCTTTCGCCATCGCCAGATCCCACCGCTAGCGAAGCGCGTCAAGATCACGACGTCAGCCGATGGCTCCAGCACCGAGCGCTACTGGGTCGCGTGCGACGCCGACACGGTCGAAAAGTCCATGATTGGTACGGACATTCGTGACCGGGCGAGGTCATCCCATCGCTGGATGTAGAGCTGCTCAACATTTCGTTGACCAAGTTTGCCCATCAACGCATCGTGCTCCTCAACCAAAACACGCGGGTCGTCGACAAGGTACGTCGCCCATCCTGTCGCGTCCTTGACCACGCTTGCAGGCAAGCGCCGAGCTGCAGCTCCATGCGCCACAGCCCACCGAGGCTGTTAGCACGTCGTTGAAGCGCAAGCTGCCCGACGCTGGGACCGAGCCCGAGTCGGACCGCGGCTATTTCGTACGATCTCCATCTCCAAGGCCGAAGGCAACGCTATATCTACTAGGCGTACTTCTTTTCCGTGGCCGACTTGGACATGGTGTGGCGCTCCGTCTTGCACGCGCACGTCTTCAACAAGCGCTTTGGCGACGTGATCGAGTTCCACACCGCGTCGACGGGCGCGTACGTGGCCATCGCATCTGCAGGATCGCTTCTTATTGTCGTCATTAGGATGGGCCCCAAGGCGTTTGACGAGCTCTTCCATGTCCACACGCACCAGCCGCGCTCGACAACCACTGTGTTTGGCGCGTCCCAGCCGCAGCTCAAGTGCTGCTTGGTGCTGCCGTGCGCGACGACCGACGACGAGATCAACCGCGTCGGAAAGAACGTCTTTAGCCTCCTCAACATTACGGGCAGTCTCTATTTTCGGGCGTCATCCAAGACACTGGGCGATGACGGCAACAAACTCACGGAAGACGTGTTTCGACGCTATACGACCCACCGCTTGGTGCGCCACGAAGAGGTAGTTGCGTCCGGTCGTCTCTGTCTTGGCTAAGGGCTGGATGTAGGCGCCGACCGACACGGGCCTGCACAGCGCCAACGGGATTTTGGGGTACCAGCCGCCGAAGAAGATTGTCTTTACGCTCGAGCGCCTCGATGCCAACAAGCGCGCCAAGACGCTCAGTGACGACGAGTAGTAGAAGAAGAGACATGTTGCTGGCGTATTCTATTTAACAGACCCTCCTCCTTGTCCTTCTTGCATACCCGAGGTGGAGTCTTGCTGCTCTGGGCAGTACCAGACAGTGCATGAAACAAGGTTGACGGGTCGAATAGTCTTCGGCCCTAGATAGTTAGTTGGGGAATCGAATATAAATAATGCAGCGGCGACGACATGCGGGCGACCCGGACGAGTCAGATGGCCGTCTCGTGCGGGCTGCGCGAGCGGTCGAGCAAGGATGGAAGCTGCGCTTGCGCCTCGGCAGGCTTATCGAGCGGGAGCTGCAGCGCTGGCCACTCGAAGGGCGCGGTGCTGAAGTGCAGCACGTCGTCCGGGGACTGCCCTTCCGTGTGGAGCTCGAGAAAGCTCTCGCCTGCGTTTTGGGTCGGGCGCTGCTCGTGGAGCGAGAGGAGGCTCCAGCACGTGTCCACGTTGGCGTTCGCGGACTGGTTGAGGACGGTCTTGACGAGTCGAATGAGCGTCTCGACATCGTGCTTGAGCGAGAGAAGGAGCGCGTTGTCGACGATCGTCGGCGTCGATGACATGGGCTCGGACGACGAAGACGACGCGCCCGAGTCGTTCGTTCGCTGCTTCTCGCGTCGCTTCCGGTCGCTCTTGAGTTGATGGGCGTTCTGGCGCATGCGGTGCATGGAGCAGAGCGAATGGAGCGTCCCGTTGATCTTGCGCGTCCGCGGGTTCAAGCACTTGCCGAACTTGTACGTGCAGAGCGAGGTCTCGTCTTCCGCTTCCTGCGCATGGTCGTCGTCGTCTTGGGCGCTGCTCTTCCATGCGTCTTCCTCCTTCCGCGGGGCCGTCCACGCGCTCTTCTTCGCCATGCTTGTCTTGTCTTCTTGCTCGGGAAATCGCGACTGCGATCGTCCAAGATCCAAGTGCAAACTCGAGCGCGTGACGCACGTCATTGGCTCGTTACGTTTGTTTTTGACCAATCATCGTTGGCGAATTTGGCACCCAACCCACCACAACGCACAAGTCGATTTCCGACCAGGATGATGATGCTGCTGCAGAAGGCAATGGCCCTCGTCGCCTTGGCGCCAGCCGCGATGGCCATGACGTGCGATGATGCGACCGTCAACTGGGTCTGGAGCGGCGCCATGACCAGCTCGTCGCTCCGTCTCCGCGTCTCTACGAGCATGACGGATCCCGGCTGCAGTCCCGACGCAGTCCAGCTCCACGTGATGCAGGTAGACATGACCCGTATGGTGCAGAAGCTGTACTGCATGCACTAGGCGGCCGGTGCAGCTAGCGTGTACGAAGCCACCAAGCAAGCCATGGGGCCATCGACATGGCTCCTCGACTTCCACGCCACGGTATGCCACCGTGTCCTGCTCGAGCTAACCGTCGTTGCGCGCAGGACCTGGTGCCCGGGCCGATGCAGTACGAAGTGCGGTATGGCGCCGACACGTACGTTTGCTCGCGTCCTCCTCGATCTAGTCATCATGCGGGCTGTGGCCAGGGTGCTCAAGGCGCAGACAGGCGCGATCTCGCTACCGCCGGCTCCAGGAACCCCCACGTCGTTTGAGATTGCTTTTTCATCGTGCGCCGACCAAGACTCGAACCCAAAGGTCTTTGAGACCATTGCCAAGCACAACCCGCTCTTCTTCCTGCACATGGGCGACCTCCACTACGACAACATTGAAGTCAACGACGTCCAAGTGTTCCGAAGTGCGTACGAAACCATGTTTGCGTCGCCTGCAGGCAAGGTACACGTCCATATCGCCAACGTCAACGACCTAACTCTCTCTAGGCGATGCTCGGTATGGATCTACCGATGGCGTACATGTGGGACGACCACGACTTCGGTCCGGACAACAGCGATGGCACCGCGCCAGGTCGAGAAGCGTCGCTTCAAGTCTACCGAGAATACGTACCGCACTACCCGCTGCAGGACAAGTACGCCGACGCACCGCAGGCTCCAATCGACAGCACATGACTAGGCCCGGCGCCATTGCACCGGAGGAGCGTCCGATTCAGCAAGCCTTTACCATCGGGCGCGTTCGCTTTCTTGTGACCGACCTGCGCTCGCAGCGCACGCCCAACACGGACCCCGATGTACCCACCAAGTCCGTCTTGGGGCCTGCGCAAAAGCTCTGGTTCAAGCGAGAACTGGTGCGTTGACTCCGATGGGACCCCAACATGCTCAGTCGTCGGCTCTGTAGCTCGCTGCTTCGTCGCCAGAGAGCGCCGTGGGCCTGATCGTGTGGGTAAACACGATGCCGTGGATCGACGACGAGCGCAAGTGGGGGTGCGTGCTCACATGTGGAAGATATTGTCTTATGACAGAGTGTGAATGTAGCCATTTCAAGTACGAGCAAGCCGAGCTTGTGGCCTTTCTCACCGAACACGACCTCAACACGCGCGTCCCGATTGTGATTGCGAGCGGTGACGCGCATATGCTGGCGGTGGACGACGGCAGCCACAGTCCTGGGCACCTCCCGACGTTCCACGCAGCTGCGCTGGGCCGTCCGGGCTCGATCAAGGGCGGGCCGTACAGCCATGGTGCGATCCCTGGCTCGGGTACGCACTCACTGCTTGCATATGGTCCAAGCCGACACGGTCTAGGACGCTTTGGTTTGATGCGATTCGACGACGATGGCAGTCGTATTTGTCTGCGCTACAGCGGTCGCAACTTGCACGACGACGAGCTCTTGGCGTTCGACACGTGTCATCCGGTGGCCGGGACCGCGTTTTACCCGCCGCCGATCTTTGTGCGCCAGCTCACGCGTGGCATCCGGAAGCTCTACTCGCGCGCGCTGACCAAGTGGCTTCGTGCGTCGCCGTTGGAGCTGGCGGCGCTGGCCAGTCTCGTGCTCGGCCTCGTCGGTCTCCTGCTCGTGCGCAACAAGCACACCCGCCCCGCCAAGCGCGACTAGGAAGCCGCCAACAACGCTCTCGCAAGACCCTAAACCCATCGAATGTCCATGGACTCGACAGTTTTGGGAGTGAAGTGGCAGCATGGCGCTTCTGCAAGATGCATATAGCGATGACGCGGTCGTCGTCATGCATATGTCAAAGCTACGTTCCCAGCGCACATGCTCTTCTGGGACGAGCACCACTTGATACAAAACGACGACCATCCATGCGCCACATGTTTGCTCGCGTGTCGATGACGGGACGTGAGAGGAAGACGCAACCTCTTGTCCTTCCGTGTCGACGTGCACAAGCAGCTCTGTCTTCTGCAACTGGATGTGATTAAGGTCATTCGAATTGAAAAGAGACAAAATGGAGAATCAACTAGGGTTGGGGAAGAACAAACGACGCAATATCGAGCGCGTCGAGAAGCGCCTCAAACCCGATCGCAAACTCGACGTACTGAAGCACGTTGGCCGCATCAAAGCTGTAGCAAATGACCGCGTCGTTGGCCAGGTGCGCGTGCCGCTCCGTCTTGGCCGACCGACTAGTGCGACTCTTCAACTATCAATCTATCAATATCACCACGTACTGTGCCGGTGGCAACGACAGCCGCATCGCTTGCGAGACCACGAGCCGCTTCGCTTGCGTGAGCCGGTTGCACGCAATGATGCTAAACGTAAAGGCTACGTCGCCTTCGCTGCACGCGATCCCGAGCGGCGCACTCGCGCTGCCACCCGCGCGGTCGTCGGCGAGTTTGCCGTACGAGAGGAAGACGCGAAGGGCGCTCGAGGCTCCGTTGAGGAAGACGCCTTCTCTCTGATGCGGCAATAGATGCGTGTGGCCCGCTACGTAGTATGTTTTGAGCTCTACGTCCAAATGTAGCCATAATGGAGTACCGATGCGCAGCCCGGTTTCGTAGCTCCAGTCGAGCGGGCGAAACGACGTCGGGTTGAAGAGGTAGAGAAGGTACGTGTTGCTCGCGAGCACGTTCATGCACAAGTGGTTGGGCTGCAAGTTGTGCCTACAATATAAACCGCGACATAGGAAAGGGTGGGTTCCGCTTGAAGTCGGTACCGGATGCTGTTGTCATCAATGTCGATGGTCATCCCGGCGAGCTCGTGGAAGCGCACCGTCTTGTGCCCTAGTAGAGCTTATGACGCGAAATGCAACGCAAGATGACGCACCGGTCGCTAGCTCGTTGCAGTCGAGCATGATGGGCACTGAGAGCGGTCGGTACACGACCGAGTCGAGCGAGACCCAGAGCTGCATCATGAGGGGCACGCCCTGGAACGACGGGTCGTCGAGCGCGTGGTTGCCGCGCAAAAGCACGTTGGCGTCCAGTAGCACGGGCGCCGGAAACACCTTTACACGGCAGAACACTCGAATATGACCAACGTGCATCTGCAGGCAAATTGAAAAAGAAGACCTGGAAGAGCTCGCTCTCAAAGAGAAGCGACCCGCGCAGCGCAGCGACCGACGCCATGAGGTTCATGTGTTCGTTGAGCAAGTCGCGCGCTTCGTCGAGCGAGACGAGGCCGATGAGCGCCGAGATCTCCTGGATCGAGCGGTTGATGCGGAGTGAGAGGTCAAACATGCCTAGGCAGGCTGAGTGCATGCACGATGCAACATGCAATCGTACGCTCGCAGCGGTTGTACACGGACGCGCGCTCGCGCGAGCACATGAGGCTGCGTCCGTGGTCGATCCGGAAGAAGGTCGTGTCGCCAGCTGCGTTCATGAGGTACACCCGCGCCGAGACGTTGGACGCAAGTTTGCGCGAGAAGAAGGTGCGCAGCGCAAAGATGCGCCGGTACGACGCCGCACTGTAGCGCACGTGGCCGTAGAGACCGAGTACGCGCTCCTTCCACTCGACCTCGCAGAAGCGCTCGATCTCCTTGTTGAGCTGCGTCACTACAAAGAGCTCGGGCACCGAGAGAAAGGGCAGCACGTAGCCCAGCGTGCTCTCGCGGTAGCTGCTGTCATCGCCCAGCGTCATGGGCTCGCTCGCAGGTGACGGCGCCACGGCGGCGTCCTCGAAGCGCTGGAGCGACGCCAAGACCGGCTCGGCGGCAATGTCCATCGTGCTTCCGGTTTCTTTGTTCCTATTTTTGCCACGATTCGCACCCGGAGTGCCCACCCGGAGCCATTCCCACACATGAGTACACACCGTTATACGGGCGGTGCCACGGCGTTGCTGCGTCAACATGGCAGCCTCACGTCTCCTGCGTCCACGGCCGCGACCTCGACGTGCCAAGCTGACGAGCCAGCGCTGTCGCGACCGTCCACCTCTCCGCACAACAGTGGTCTGCTGGTGTTATGGGACCATAGCGACCTCACTGTCGTGTCTGCGCACTCCTGGCACGCGTCTAGGCGCGCAATAAAGACACGCTATTGCGTTGCCGACAAGCCATCGCGCGGCTACTACTTGCATCCCCTCTGGTTTCCGCGAGTTGCGATCTTCGCAATTGTACTTTGTAAGCGAATTCTGTCTGGCTTTTTAAAAATGGCATGTGCCACCTGGTCGGCCGCAAATGTTTGTTGCACAACGTGGCAGCGTACGAGGCCATTGTCGTCATCGGAAGAAAGACGAATGCTGTCTTCGCGTTATGGTCCTAAATAGTGGCTACTACAACACACATGGCCGGTCGCTGCTATGGCTACCTACTGCCGGCCCTTCTTGTCTCCTACCTTACATGTAGTGTATACCATGGCGCATCTAGGCCCGGTTGAACGTCTGGATGAGCTTGCGCTTCTTCATGTGCACTTCCGGTGAGTACATGATGCCGTCGTACGCCGGCGGCTGCGCCAGCGGCTTGGACTCGCGCGAGAAGATCGACTGGAGCGAGGGCAGGCCCGTCCGCGGAGCTTGCGGCGGCAGTGGCGGCAGCGACACCGTTGTTGGCTGGTGTTGGTGTTGCTTGGCGTGCGTAAGGAAGATGCACGGCGCAACGTACCCGAGGCAGCTCCGGAGGTCTTCGCACACTGGGTGCGTGCACACCTCGGCGTTGGGCACGACGGTCGGCTGCGCCGGCTGACTCCATGGCATGATGTACTGCTGGTGGATGCAGGCAAACTGGCGGTCGCCGAGAAAGCACACAATTTGGCAACCCTCCTGGTACTGGTCGAGCACATACTGCGGCAGCTGCGGCAACGGGTAGTTGAGCGGGTACTGGATCGCAGGCCACCACGACATCTGCGGCGTCCGCACCCAGCAGAGCTGCGGGCCGTCGGCGGGAGGCGCTGGCAGCACCATCTGTGTCTGCGCCTTGCGTTGGAGGTGCAGCTTGACCGCTTCACATCGCGGGACAAGGCACGACTCGAAGCCACAGCGCTCCGAGTGGCTAATGAGGATCCGGTACGTCTTGATGCAGTCGGTGCAGTTGGGCTCCGCGTACGGGTGCACGGTTGTGTGATGGAGTACGCGGCGCATTTCGGCGCAGCCGCCCGTCGGGCACAAATGCCCTTCGTCGGCGGCCGCGCACGACGACGCGTGGCGCACGAGCTGGTCGACGACCTTGCTGTCGAGAAGGCTTGAGGATGTGTTGGTCTGCGGCGGCATGCGCGAGAGGTTGTAGTGCAAACGGAGGTTGCTTAGGCTCAGCGACGATGTGCCGTTCGCGTTGGGCTGAGAGAAGACGGGCGCGTGCGGCTTGGAGGCTTCCTGCTGCCACTCGACTTGCTGCATCATCGCATACTCTTCGTCGGCGAGGCCACCGGCCATGTCTTCGTCTTCCTTGTTGCCGCGGATCGCCGTCTTGACCTTATCGACCGCGCGGCGGAGCGTGTCCATCATACTAAAGTCGGGCGCTTGGCGCGTCCGGTTCGCGTTGCAGGCCGTGCAGTGGCCGTTCTTCTGCACATAGTACCAGTTGGAGCTACAACCCGGCGTCGCACAGCGCGGTGTGCCCGACCCGTACATGTACATCTGCTGCTTCTCGAGGTACGCCCGTCGGGCGGCGGCGCGCTCGCCGAGGATGCGGAGCGCGCGGAGGATCTGGAGCACGAGGAAGGCGCGGCGCCAGGCGCGGCGAGGCTCAAAGGGCGGTCGCGCGACGGCAGGCTGGCGCCAGCCACGGAACGTGATGGGGAACGTCATCTCAAAAACCTGTTGTGGGCCGACCAAGCCCAGCGACCGATTCAATCTTTGCGGAGCCAGCTGGGCGCAACTTCAAGATATTGGCCCTGGCTAGAAAATGACTTGATTTCAGTATGCGTCGCCAACGCTTGACACCTTCAAGCTTTTAATTTCGGCTCGGCTTTTCTTGAACCAAAACAAAATCTCGAAATCAAATTCGTTTTATTGTCTTTTGCTACAAAGCGCAAGTGACAATAAAAAAAGACGAATAAAATGCGTCGCCAAAGAAAGGCTGCGCGGATAAGATTCCGATGAGAAAATAAGCCGACGCAAGGATACAACGGCGTGAATTTGCTCCGGGACCATCTGGGCGGAGCAGCGCCGCTTGTGATCAACTCAACCTCGCCAATGTATGGCACGCGGCCTTTGCAGCTCCTTTTGGATGGTTCATCGCTCGCGCTTCTTGAACTCGGGGCCGCAATTGCGCCCACCGCGTTCGTTCAACAAGCGCGACTGTACCGTGTACGTGCCTTCAAGGAGGAAGCTCGAGACGACCAGAGACGCAACCACGTCGCACGCCAGAATCGGGCGACGTGTAGATTTGACCTTTGCCATCTCATTTGCCACGATGCGAGAGAAGTAGATGCATTTTAGATAGAGGTTCATCGTGTTAGTGGGAAGTGTGGCGTCGAGTTGAAGACGACGTCGGGCATGCGTTCGCGCTCGTTCGGCCGTGGTCCACACCCTGTCGATCCATCGTGGCGATTGTTGAAGTGTATCGAGCGCATCCATAACACGCTTGGTACAGTTATAACGCGCGATCTTCGTCCCGCTTTGTCCCAGCACTTGGCCAAAAATGCGTGGTCAAGAGCTCTCGTTCTCTCTTTCGCGAGTACACTGTACAACGAGACGACGTTCTGAAGCTACTCGAAGCGCGTTCGCCGCAACTGAACGCCGGCGACAAGGCCGCGTGGGCGCACCCATCTTCTCGCATCAAATATTTTCGATTGAAATCGCTCTTCCCAGTGCAATCATGCAGAGGATCCTCACGTTGCATGTCGCAAATTCATCTGTGCATTATGATTCAGCGCTTGCTTTCGCGGTCATCGACGCTGGAACACTAGCATAATCGAATCGAATGGCTGCGTTGCGTCGACTGTATCGGCGTTGGATGGAGTTATATATTGGCGTGTGCTCCTCGTTCTGCTTGCTCCATCGCACGCCAGCGTGGATGATAGGTCCCAATCAAGCGACCGCAAATCCTCCCTCGACACTTTGCTTCTCGGGCTTTCTTCAGATTACTTGGTGTTTTGGACGCAATCCTAGCCATCGTGATACTGGTGACGGCAGTGCCTGTGTCGTCGTATGACCTTCCACCACGCTTCCATAATGGGCTTTGCTACTGGAGCCATCATCGTCGGAGGTACTCCAAGCCAAGGGTATTGTTGTTGTACTTTGATCCCTCTGATATCGAAGTGCGCCAACCCTTCGCACCACCCAAGGAAGCATCCTAAACGACTGATGCCATCCATTCCAAAGACCCCCTTTCCTCAGCCGACCTGAAGCCAAACTATTGAGAGCTTTGGTTCTCGATGCGCGAAGCGAAGACTAATTCATTAGCTTTGCGTCGCCTTCTTGGCCTACAACGCACCAGTACATCGCCCCGAGGCTTCTTCGTCGAGCACCCTTGGGAACGACGCTGGCCGTGCGGCTTGATGACCGAGAATGGAGCCAACAAACTAAGCTTGCACGAATCACTCGTAAACATAACTCTACTAGTCATAGACTGTATGGTGTGGCATCCCGTCATCCGTAACTCGTGCAATGCACAGGTTGTCCCCGAAGATCCACGTCGTCGTTTGTCACATTTTGACCAATCGTCGCTCTCGGCGCATCGTGATTGGCTACAATGTGGATCCGTTTCATAGCGGTTAGTCGGGAAGAGCATGTTCGAGCGCTACATCGAGGGGCTCGTCGTCGACTACTTCTCCGAGTGGCTCGATGGCTTCGACAAGGAGGGCATGCGCGTGGCGCTCTTCGGCGGCAAGATCTGCTTCTCCAACCTCAAGTTCAAGCGCGAGGCCCTCGACGCGCTGCGCCTGCCCTTCGTGCTCAAGGAAGGGCGGCTCGGCAACCTCTTCATCAAGGTGCCATGGAAGCGCCTCTCCAAGGAGTCGGTGCATGTCGTCTTGGAGGACCTCTACCTCGTGCTCGGGCCGTGCCACGAAGGCGCCAACGCGGCGACGCAGAGCGAGCGCCTCCGCTGGGCCAAGCAGCACGAGCTGCGCATGCGCGAGCTCCTCTGCGCGAGCAAGTCGGACTCGGCAACGCCCACGAGTCCGCGTGATAAGACAGAGACCAAGACCAAGCAGAGCTCGAGCTGGAAGTACAAGGACAAGATCATGAACACGGTGCTCGAAAACCTCTCGTTTGAGCTCAAGCGCATCCACGTACGGTACGAAGACACGTCGATGGAGGTCTCGTCGCATCCGCTGAGCTTTGGCATCTCGATCGACGAGCTCAAGGTCGCAACGACCAATGCAAACGGCCACGTCGCGTTCCTCGATCGGTCGAGCTCGCACACGCCGTTCGTGCACAAGCTCGTCGAGCTCAAGAGCTGCTACGTCTACTGGGACCTCGCCAAAGCCACGGGCGGCACGCAAATGACGTACCTCGTCGAGCCGTTCAGCACGACCGCGAAGATCACCGAGAACAACGACGCGTCGTCCTACAACTTTATCCCGCGCTACCGCGTGCGCGTCGCGGCCTCCGACCTCGTGGTCGCTGTCGCGCCGTCCCAGTGCAAGGACATCACCAACGTCCTGCATTTCTTCAGCGCCCACGAAACGTACCTCAAGCGCAGCGAGTGTCGCAAGCAGCGCCCGAGCGTCAGCGTGCGCGGCAACCCCCGCGTGTGGTGGCAGTACGCTATCAACGCGACGCGTCGGCTGCTGCTACCAGCCACCGCGCTGCCGCCGTCGTGGCGCCAATACGTCTTTCTCGTCAAGATGCGCACCGCGTACATTCCGTTGTACACGCGGTCGCTCAACCTCGCGCCATGGAAGCCACCGCTCGAGCCCGCCGAAGGGGTGCAGCTCCAGGCGATGGAGGACGATCCGCGCTTGACGGCCGAGACGCTCGTCTTCTTCCGTCTCTGCGCCAAAGAAGAGGTCGCCATGGAGACGACGCGCCGTAAACACATCAAGGAATCGACCAAGACGGCCAAGTGGAGCCTCTTGAAAAAGTCACCGGCGCCGTCGCCGACCCACGCAGCCACGACGCCGCCGACGACAAGTAGCAAATTCTCGCTCTTCTCGCCGCGCAAGGCCGAGCCACCGCCCGTGCCGCCGTCGCCAACGTCATCAGGCCCAGTGACACCGACCTCGGCGCTGCAAGTGACGCTCGAGCCCATTGAGCGCCAGCTCGTGTACGAGCACGTGGGCTCGTGGTTCTTTGAAGACGACGCGCTGCCCGTGGCGCCCGCGCCATCAACAGCATCCGTGACATCGCCCAAAACGACCAAGTCCCCCGGCATTCTCTTAGGCCTCGACTTCAACATGGACCGCGTCCAAGTCGCGGTCGCCAAAGAGAGCCTGACCGACGCCAAGCAAGTCATTCGAAAAGAGTTTGTCCGCTTTGATATGAGTGCGATCGCGTTCTCGCTGCAGCACCATCTGCATGTCGGCCACGGACGCCAAGAGTGCAATGTTGAGTTTTCTGTCGGGCACGTGGAGCTCCTCGATGCGACGGTGTCCGCCGACTCGCCCTTTGCCGTCATTTTCGGGCCACTCCCGCACTTGCGGTCCAAAGCGCCTTTGATTCAGCTCAAGTACGACGCCCAACCAACGCTGTCGAGCATCACTGTTGCGATCGACCCGGCGCGCCTTCTGTACCACAAGAAGGCCATGGACAAGATCACAAAATACATCACACCCGACCTTGACAAGAAAGCCGCTTCGTCCAAAACGACGGCAGCCTTCAACGACGACGACGACGATACGACGCTCGTACCTCTACACGTTGTCGTACACGTCTCGCAAGTTCAAGTCGCGGTCGCCGGCGCCGACGATGCCTTCTTGCTGTTGCACATGACGGGCGGCAGCTTTCGCACGGACGACGTGCACCAAGCGTTCACGTCGTCGCTCGAGGCCGTCGATTTGCTCTTGGTGCCTGTGGGCCAGTTGCATTTGCTCGCTGACGATGCGACGCTGGCCCACAACTGCCGGCTTTTCAAGCGGTTTCCGTGCGCGGTGCAGGGCACATGCAAGGCGTCGGCTATCTGGAGCTACAACGTGGTGCTTGGCCCGCTGCTCGCCAACGTCCTCGAAGGTCAGGTCCGGTCGCTTGTGCATTTGGGCATGTACTTGGCGCCACCGTCGACCTCGGTGGCATCGACCAAAGTCCGTGGTCTCCCAACCCCGCTCGAGGTGCATGTGGAGACGTCTGCGGTGCAGCTGCGTGTCGTCGGCAATGAAGTGCTCCGGTCCGGCCTGCAGCTGGAGGCCGCCAACGTCAAAGTGGATGCGACCCGCGAGGCGACGGGCGCGCTGACGCTCACGGGACACATCGAGCAACTCTTAGGCAAAGAGGCTGTGGCGACGACGACGCACCGGTCGTATACGTTTGATGAACGCGTCACAACAACGCTTCTCGCGATGCCAGACGTGGCGACGTGGACGTGCGTCGTGGCGGCCGGCGCGCCACCGATCTTGACGCTCGAGCTCCCGACGCTGGACGTCTATTGGAACTACCACGTACTGAAAGAAGCTCTCCTGTGCTTTCTCGTACCGTGGCCACTGAGCCCCGTCCTTGTCTCGGACGCTCTGCTTGCAAACGTGAGCTTGCGCGCGTCGGGTGTCCGCTGGCGCCTCAACCCTGCCGACGACGTGACGTTCGACGTTGTCTGTGGCAAGCTCGACACGCGCACGGCTATCTACGTCAACGGCGACGTCTTCTGCGATATTACGTCGACCGACGTGCGCATTTCGGGCGCCAAGGACGCCGATGTGCTGCTGTTGTCGCTGCCCGGAGAGGCGATCTTTCGGTACGAAGCCAGCGGCGCGGGCGCGCTCGTGAACCGGGACAATGCGGCAGCGTACATCAAGGCGGCCCTGGGACACGTCCACTCGAGCTACCACCACGCGTACGTTGTCGCCTTTGGTCAGTATATGCTGGGACGCGTCTCGGAGCTCTTTACGTGGCTCTACTTGGCGCGCGAAGGCTTGGGCAAAACGGCTATCGCACCAGCCCTCTTGCGCTGCAAGGTCGACGCCAGTATCGAGAGCATCGAGATGCAGCTGCCACCCGGCGTTCGTGCGGTCGCCGACTGGGTCGTCCGCGTTGCATCGATACAAGTCACGTCTTCCCAGTACCTCACGACCGACTACGAGCAGTACACGATTGTGTTCGATCTGGGGCTGCCACCGTATTTGAGCGCAAAAGGCGCCAACATTGTGTTTGTCGCGGCCAAGAGCGACACGCGCCTCGACGTGCTGGCGCCAGAAGTGACGCTCGACGTCGGCCACGACCAAGTCGCGTACGCCCTCGCTTTGGTTCAGGACAACTTGCTGGCGCCAGCGCTGCCCATGGAGGTCATGGTGTCGCCATTGCAAGAGACCGAGGCGACCGATGACAGTGTCATTTTGCGAACCAGTATTGTAGTCCCGACGCTGACGCTGACGCTTTTACAGCAACACAAGCCCCTCGTGACCCTCAAGATGACGACGACACGTCTCGAACTCGATGAATTCACCAACGACGCGATCACGCTGCAAGCCGCTGTGGGCGATATCTCGGTCACTGACACCGCCAAGGCCCTCGACCTCCACCTCTTTGCGCGCGCTGAGCAGAGCGCGCTGAGTGCCAGCGTCGAACTCTCGCCCAACGACGGCAACAAGACGGTGGTGTTGCGTCTTGACACCCTCCATGTCGTGCCCCACGTGGCCACGCTCTTGTCGGTTGCTGCATGCTTGCAGCAGATGCCACGCCCGCCGCCGCGCTCTACTCCGACGACGGGCTCGCTCGACGTGACACTCAAGCTTCTTGAGTACAACGTGCAGCTGAGCGCGAGTCCTGGGCGGATTCTCAGCGTGCTCGGGACGCTCGAGGGCCACATCGCGCAGTCCAGTAAGCGGCCGGTCGTCAACCTCAAAGGCGCCGAGACACTGCTCCTACTGAGCGAAGCATGGCCACTTGCATCGGCGATGCCGCGCCTCGGCGATACGCTGCACCTGCTCGTCCACGGCGTCGGGCGCGCGCTCTGCGCCGGCTTTGGCTTTGAAATCGACATGGCGCTCTCGGAGACTGTGCAGCAGATCTCGGCCTACCTCCTCGACGTCCACGGTGTTTTGAGCGGCGACGACATGGCTTTGCTCTATTTCACCGCACGCAGCTATGCACGGCAGCTCGCACGCGCGTCGAGCGATGCGCCGTCGGCGTCCGACTGGTTCATCACGCTCGTCTTCAACTGCGCGAGTTTGACGCTGATTTCACCGCAAGGCGACACGTTTGCGCCGATGCTCAAGCTCTATCTGTACAACTTGCTGCTCAAAGAGTCGTACAAGAGCTCGATCAATGCGTCGATGGCGAGCGATCTCAGCGTCCAGTTCTCGGACGAGCCCGAGCGCCAGCTCTCGGAGAAGGAAGGCATGAGTCTCTGGTGCTTCAACGCGTCACTTGGCGCGTGGGAGCCGTGCCTCGAACCCTGGTCCTTCCGCGCTTCGTTGGCGACAACGGTGGAGGACGACACGACGATCCAGCGCGCGTCGTTTCACGGCAGCAAAGCGCAAAAGTGTCATCTCAATGTGTCGCTCTCGACGTTGACGAACCTCTGCTGCGTGCTCCGACACCTCCTCGGCGCGTCCCCACCCATCGAGGTCCACAACGACGTCGCGTGCGGCGTCTATGTCTGCAACGACAGCGACGAGCGCATCTCGTACTGGGCCGCCAACGCCGACTGCCGACGCCCCCTCGATGTGCCACCGCACAAGACCGTGCCGCTGCAGCTCGCGACAGAAACCTTCTTCCCGTCCGACCAGACCATTTCGCTCTGCTTTGGCGACGAGTGGCAGCCGCTCAACGACGTCCGGCTCCACGCGGCCGGCGCTTTTGTGTACCACCTCATGCCAAAAGAAAAAGGCGCCAAGAAGTCCCTGCCCGTGCTCTTGGACGTGGCGTCCGTCAACGGCCTCCGGACGCTCACCATGTCGTCGATCGCGCGCGTCTACAATGACGGTGACGTCATTGTCCGTGTCGGCGTCGTTGTGACGGACGACGACGACGGTAGCAGTCGCATCGTCGAGGCGTGTGAGATCGCCCCCACTACGTTCCAGGCACTGCCGCTAGCGCTCTGCAAGGGTCTCGGTGATACGCAGCTGGTCTTTATGCCGCTGTTGCCCGGGTACAACTGGAGCGCGCCCGTCCTCGTCGACGCCGAGGCTGTTGAAACCATTGCGACCTGCCCGTTATCGTCCGTAAGCAAGAAGGGCTGCAACTGCCTCGCTACCTTTAGCGCCACGACTACGCCCGCGAGCGCGACCTCGGACGTTTGCACGCACGGGGACTTTCATCTGCGCGTCGTGTCGGCGCTCGAGGCGCCGCGCAACCGGCACGCGCTCTCGCAATTCGTGTCGGTTCGTGTCTTGGCGCCCATCACGATCGAAAACCGGTGCCCAATGCCCATCCAAATGCTCATGTTTACAACCAAGAAGGTGCCGCCACCTGACGCGCCGGTGCGGCCGCCGCAGCTCGACGAAGAGATCGAACCCGTCCAGATCCACTTGGTCGTGTCCAAGACGATCGCACCGAGCGAGGTGGTGCATGTGTACGCCGCGTCCTTGCTCTACAAGACGTATGCGTCCATGGCGCTCGTGAGCCCGCGCTGGAGCCCGCTCAAGCCACTGCACGTACCTGAGAAGGACAAGACCATGTGGGCGGTCGACGATGGGAGCGGGCGCCAGCACTATGTCCAGTGGGCCCTTCTCGAGTCGCATCACAAGCAACGCCAAGCCGTGGTGTTTCCAAGCTACATACTGTACGACCAGACGTCGCTCTCGCTCTTGTATGACGTCGACGCCGCGCGGCTCCACTCGAAGAAATCGTTCATTTCGTTTGGAAGCAACTCGAAGAGCAATTTATCGGCGTCCGACAGCCTCGAGACAGACGTGATCCACGCCTCACTACAAGCCCTCGCCAAAGACGCCGTGGTAGCGATTTACTAGCAGCGACTCAAGCGTCATCTACTTTGGACTAGGTGGACGAGGCTGCCGGACGATTGCCATATATGGTCTCGGGCTCGAATGACGTCAACATTCGCTTGGACAAAGCCAAGTCGCTCCGCACGTCGAGCTCGGTCGTCCGCCTCGATGCGATCAGCGACTCAGTCCAAAACGTCCACCGCCTCTTTAGCGACGTCACACGTGAGTGGCATGACATTGGCGCGCTCTCGCGGGACGCCGACCACCGCACCAAGATCATCACGTTCGTGCCGCGCTACATGGTGCTCAACAAGACGCCGTATGCGCTTCTATTGAGTCCGTCGGCGCTCTTGAAGGAGAAGGACCTCACGCGGCTTCCGACGCTCGATGCCTCGTCGACACCGCCGCCCAACCTTGTGGGCAGTCGGCAGTACGAGCCAAAGCGGGACAGCTTCTCGACGTTTCATTGGTCGACGATGAGCGACCCGACCGACCCCTGCGTCCGCATTCGCCCGGCCGATGTACGTGCACGCCAACGATGTGTCCTCACGGTGGAGGTGTAGGCGTCCGGGTGGAAGTGGTCCGGCAAGTTCTCGCTCCATGACGTCGGTGAGACGGCGCTGAACGCGGTGAACCGGGTCACGGGCGACATTCATATCGTGCGCGTCCAAATTCGCGTCTACCGGGGCACGCAGATCTACGTGGTCTTTTCGCACGAGGCCAACACGCCGCTGTACCGGATCGTCAACCTCTGTGACGACGTCGTACACTTCCACCAGCACGTCCTTACGGAGGCCAACTTAACGTCGAAACCCACGATGCGCCGCCTCTTGCCGAAAGACGACCTTTGCTTTGGGTGGGACGAGCCGTACTTTGTCGACGAACGCACTTTGGCGCTGAGTTTTCCCAACGCCGTGAGCTGCCAAGTGCACGTCGATCGCATCGCTGACGAGGTGCAGCACGTGGAGCTAAACGGCGCCAAGATCTTTCTCCAAGTCGTACTCGACGGCCTCACCAAAGTGCTCTACATCCAAGCCCACGCCCCGTCCCCACGCGACGCGCTCTTGCGGAAGAAGAAGCCGCCGCTGCTCCATCACGCGCGGTACATTGTCGACTGTGTCCTGCCGCACACCGTGGTGTCGCTCATTGACGGCGTGCCCGCCGAGCTGCTCGTGCTCACTGTCACCAACGTGATGGTCATTGGCGGTCTGACGCCTGACGACAACGAAGTCGAGCTCACAATCGAGCGCGTCCAGATCGATAACCAGACGCCCCACGCGATGTTTCCAGTGGTGTTTGCCCCGTCGTCCTCCGCACTTACGAGCCCGTACGTTGCTGAGGCTGGTGTCGATGACTCTCATGGCTTTGGGATCCTAGCACGAATGACGACGAGGCCAAGGCGGAGCCGGCGCCGTTCGTGCATCTGTCGCTCATTCGGCTGTTTTACAGCGCGGACATTGAGTTCTTCAAGGTACATGGACGTTATTGGTATAGTATGACATGCACCGTTGCACCTAGTACTTCTCGGCGCTCATGCAGCCCGCAACGCTCCAGCTCGATGCGTCCATCTTGCTCTCGATCGCGCAGCTCGTCGGCAACGGCGTCAACGTCGTGCAGAGCTATTTCCCGCACTGGTTTGTCCAAGACCACACGCTGGCGTTTGTCGAGAAGCTTCACGCCAAGAGCGAGCCGCGCGTCTACTTTGAGACCCTGCAGCTGCACCCGCTCAAACTGTGCGTCACGTTCACGCAGAGCACGCTGTCCCGTCAAGTCTGTCGCGAGCTATGCACTCGAGCTAACGAGTGTGACTAGGCCAAGGAGACGGTCATGGCGGTGGTCCCACTCATGTTTCGCGTGCTCCAGACCAACTTGGCCAACATCGACAATGCGTCGCTCCACCTCAATGCGCTCGTGCGCCTTCGATAGAGAAAATGCAAGGCTGATGAAGACTTGCGTAGCACATTTCGTACTCGTTTTCGTCCATCTCGCTCCTTGTGTCGTCCGTGCGCCAGCACTACACCACCCAGTGCCTCCGCCAAGTCTACTCCCTTCTCGGGTCGGCTGAGATCCTTGGCAACCCGCTTGGGCTCGTCTCCAACCTCGGTACGATCTTGACTTGGCCGTTTCTAGTTATACGATTTGGGACTAGGGAGTGGCGTCAAGGACTTTTTCTACGAGCCCGCCGCTGGTATGGTGCAAGGGCCCGGACAGTTTGTGAAAGGGCTTAGCCGCGGTACCGAGAGCTTGGTCAAAAACTCAGTCTACGGCACGTTCAACGCCGCGAGCAAGCTCACGGGCAGCATCTCGACGGGCCTCGTCAACCTCTCAATGGACAAGTCGTACATCCAAGCGCGTACCAACCGCAAAGCGTCGCAAGGGCCGACCAACGTCGGCGCGGGCTTCCTTCTTGGCACCAAGCAGCTGGGCCAGGTAGACTCGGTCTTCGCCATGCAGCGACTCGAACGGCGGGTTAGGGGATCTTTGCGGGGGTCTCGGGCGTCATCACGCAGCCCGTTATGGGTGCTTACCACAACGGCCTCACGGGCTTCGTCGAAGGTGTCGGCAAAGGCATCATTGGCGCGGCGGTCAAGCCCACGGCCGGCATCCTCGACTTGGCGGCCCAGACCACGGCCGGCATCACGTACTCTGCCGCGACCCACGACAAGAAGCCCAAGCTGCAGCGCGTCCGCCTCCCGCGCATGATGGCCACCAGCGACAAGCGCTTGACGGTCTCTTGCTACTGCGATCGCGATATGCTCACTGCAGATATCGTAGATTTACTCGGACGAGACGGCCATGCTCGCGATGCTTCTCGCCAAGCTCCCCAAAGATGCTCTCTCGATCGACGAGCAGCACGAACTGCATGTGATGCTACCAGGCCACCGCGTGATGCTAGCGACGTCCCACCAGCTCATGGCGCTCGATACGACGAGCGTTCTCAAGCCGCGCGTGCTCTGGGCGTACCCGGTCCGACACGTCCTGAGCAGCGTGAGCACTGACACGGGCGTGAGCATTTCGATCCAAGCCGAGAGCGTTATTGTCGTCAAGGTTGCCCTCGAACCGCAGGACGACCGCGAGCGCGACCGCGTTGAAGACCTCGTGTGCAAGGTCGTGAGCCAAAACACCAACCACCGTACCGGGAGTTTTCGCTCCCAGAGTTAAGCCCCACATCTCATTTCTTATCCACAAGTTCTTGTTCGACATGCTGCCAACTCGGTGGTGATATTCCTCAAGGGCATCGGCGGGGGTGTGCGGCCAAACGGTCGGCGTCGCTGGTTGCGACAGCGCCAGCGTAAAGTCATGGGCCTCTAGTGTTGTGTACAGCATCTAGCTAGCTACACGATGCCACACCTACCCCTTGAACGCTGCATCCGGATCTATCTTTGCGTAACCACCGTGGCGCGATGGCGGGGGTCGTGTGCGAGCGGGTCAAGGTCTACTGTCGCCTGCGTCCGCAGCTCGTCGCCGCCGCGCCCGAAGACGACGGGTCGACGTTTGTCACGGGCGGCGCGTCGCACTGCGTGGGCGGCGGCGCGGCCGTCACCATAGCCGGTACCGAGAGCCATCCGCTGCCAAAGCGGCTCGTCTTGAAGGACACGAATGCGAGTCCCAAGGACTTTGAATTCGACGGGTGCTTTCGCCAAGACGCGACACAGGACGCCGTGTACGCGGCAGTCGCGCGCGACCTTGTGCAGAGCGTCCTTCTCGGCTACAACGGTGCGGTCGCCGATGCTCGAACTCTCTGGCTCATGCGTGGACTAGCAACGATCATGGCGTATGGCCAGACCGGCTCGGGTAGGCAAAGGCACCTGCAAGTCGGCTCTGGACACGAACTCTAGGCAAGACACACACAATGATGGGGCCGACCGAGGACGGACCGGACCGCGGCGTGATTCCGCGCTGTCTCCAGAGACTGTTTACGTCGCCGACCGAGACCGGGCTCCGATTTCACTTGAGTTTTGTGCAAATCTACTGCGAGCGCGTCTTGGACCTTCTGAGCGGCCTCCCGACGCCCCTCTCGATCCGCGAGAGCGAAGACGACGGTGTGTTTGTCGACGGTGTTCAGAAAAAGCACGTGCACTCGGTCGAGGTATCCAACTATCCAACTATCCATCGATCCATTGATCCATTGATCCATTGATCCATCGATCCATTAATCCATTGATCCATTCGGTGGCGGCGTAGGAGTGTCTGCACTGGATCCACGTCGGCAATGCCAACCGCACGGTGGCCGCCACCAACATGAACGCTCACTCGAGCCGCAGCCACGCCGTCATTACGCTTCAAGTCGAGCGCATCGATGCGGCGCAGGCCTCGTCCCAGGTGCGTCGTCACCGCGATTGTGTCAAGAACGATCGCGGTCTAGGTCGTGCAAAAGAGTCAGCTGCATTTGGTCGACTTGGCCGGGTGCGTCAAAACCCAAGTGCGATGGAGCTAAGGCCAAGGAACTAGGTCGGAACGGGTCAAGAAGTCGCTTGTCCGCGGGTCGCACGTCAACGAGCTCAAAGCGATCAACCTCTCCTTGTCGGGTCAGCCCCTCACGTGCCGACTCTCATCTGTCCTGAACGCGCACGAGTAGCGCTCGGCAACTGCATCTCGGCGCTCAGCAAGCAGCAGTCGCACGTGCCGTACCGTGATAGCAAATTGTACAACTTGTCGCAATGTACAATGACCTAATGCGGCCGATGGCAGAACCCGGCTGCTCCAAAACAGCTTGGGCGGCAACGCCAAGACCGCCCTCATCCTCGCCGTGACGCCCGAAGCCTCGGAAGCGGCCGAGAGCCTCGCGACGCTGCAATTTGGCCAGCGCGCTATGCAAATCCAAGTCTCAGCGCACGTCAACGTCGTGCCCGACTACAAACGTCTCGTCGAGATGCTTCAGGTTCTATCAAAGCTGCAAATTATACTTGCTCAGCCTCAAAATGCTAGGCCAAAGTCGACGCGTACGAAGACAAGTTGCACGGCCTCGACACGGAGCTGCAGGCATCCCGGGACCAACAGGCGTTTCTCGTCGTACGTCCTAGCGCAAGTCGACGCTCTATGTCCATGGTACCTTGTAGAACCAAGCCGACGAGGCAAGGCTCGAAGCCTCCAAGATGGCCTTTGAGATGGAAGCGCTCAAGACCACAACCCAGCTGCAAATTGCTATGGCCAAACAAGCACCGTCGCCCGACCGTGCAGCGGCCGAGAGTGATGACGCACGTGAGGCATCAGCTTCGTCATCGTCCAACGTGTTGGAGGCGTTCGAGTCCAAACTGCAAGCACTCACAGCTCAGCACAGCGCCGAGCTCTACGCCCTCAAGCAGCGGTACCCACACATGGCATCCTATGGTGTGTTGAAACCTTGATAGATTCGACTTTCAAGTCGAGACGCACAAGCAAATTGCGAACCGCGCCAACCAGGAGTGGCACAACATTGAGCACGAGCTCTCGAGCGAGCGCACGGCGCACCTTGAAACGTGCCACGAGCTCCGCGCGACAAAAGAAAAGTACTTTGCGCTCGAGAGCGACCACGTCGACCGCATCAGCGACGTCAGCAGCGAAAAGAAGGAGCTCGAGACCCACGTCGCGTCCCATCTGCAGACCATCCAGCGGCTTGAACACACGATCGGCGACCTCCGGCTGCAGCTGGTCGAGGCGCAGAGCGGGCGCTCCGAGCTCTCGGCATCGATTGACGCCAACTTTGTGTCGCGCGACCAAGTCAACGAGATGGAAGCCCTCTATTCGGACGCGATCACCAAGCTCCAGAGCCGCGTCGAGTCGCTCGAAGGTCAAAAGCCCAAGAAACCATCACCACCCATCCTCGAAACCCCAAAGCCGCCGTTGATCCCAGTCAAGAAAGACTCGCTGATTGGCAAGAAGGCTGTGCCCAAGGTTGGCCGCGTCATGCCCGGCGGGCGGCGTTGAGACCACGTCGACTCTAGTATGTACAATATACCCAATTAACGCTGGCGACGCTTCAACGTTGCTTATGGCAGAGTTGTTGAGAGAGTACCAAACTCAGATTCGTAACAACTTGAACAGGGGCAGACGGAGAGATTACAGAATTATAACTCGTGGGCATGGAGCGACCACCCCGGCTGGCTCTTCCGGTCCTTGACCACAAGACGGAGCTCGTGGAAGCACGTGTACACGTGCGACGCGAGGTTTTGCATGCGGAGCTCGTCGTGGTTCTCGTGCACCGGGGCACGATAGTAGCACGGGATGTACTCGTCGACCGTCGCAAACGTCACGGCGACGCTGCCGTGGTGGAGCCGGGTCACAGACTCGACGGGACACGCCGTCTGGTCCTTGCCACACGCCCAGTACGGGATCCAGCCCACGTACGCGCCTTCGTGCAGCCCGTAGCCGTCCAAGAGCACCGAGATGGGCTCGTTGGCATATGCAAACGACGGCTCGAGGCCTGTCAACGCCGACGACGACCGCGCTGTGAACCCATCCAGCTTCTTCCAGCCGTGGTGGCCGGCAAAGAGGAGAAAGAGAATGGCTTTCACACGGCTCGAGTAGAAGCGGAGGCCCAGCAAAAGCAGGACGAGCAGCGCTAGCAGCGCTTGCAGCAGTGGCGTGTACACCGACGCTAGCGACACGCCGTCGAGGGGCAAGCACGCTAGTGACTGCGAGGCGAGGCACGGCGCGAGGAGCTCCATGACATTGTGTTCGGCGATACAAGCCTCAATGGCGGCTACGCTCGGTGGCCACTTGAAGAGACGCCCTGCGAGGAAGCCTTGGGCGTCGCAGGCGCTGGCAAAGGCCAGGGACGCAACCAGACCGAGCGCAACCCAGTTGAGGAGGACCGTCCAGAGGAACGAAAAGATAGATCGACACCGCAGCGGCCAATACGGTGCGTAGAGGCAGCGGTACAGCAGTAGCGGCAGTAGCGTCGCACCGCCAATGGTCGACCAAAACACGTTTTCGAGCAAGAGCCGCAGCCAGGACCGCGTGTCTGCAGTACGTCGCGCCGCCGACCGCGCGGGCTTGGGCACGGGAATGTCGTTGGCCCATTGCAGCGGAGAGAGGCCCACATCGCCATCGTCGCTCTCGTCGTCGCTGCTCTCGTCCGCGTCCATGTCCACGGTCGAGTCTTCATCGTCGGACGAGTACGTAGCATCTTGGTCAATCAGCTCTTCGAGCTCGTCCATCAAGGCGTCGGCACGGTCCGCTGGCCACTGTGGCTGGGACGCGATGCCCAAGGCCCGGCGCTGGCCTCTCGTCATCATCCCTGGCATGGCGGTGGCGGTGGCGTCGCTGACGTTGGGAACACTATCCGTACTGCGCCGGATATTGCCGCCGTGGCCACAAATAGCCACCAATAACCACAAATATTCGCCCAAACCACTGACTGGGATGAAGCGCCATGGCCCAACACGTCAGGTACCGCGGGATGGGGCATGTGCAATGCTGGCACACTCCAGACACGTCCACGCTGCAGTAGCGGTGTATCTGGCTGCAGCTATCTAAGCATATCGGAAGCATCCAGGGGCAAAAAAGGGATCACTCCTGTCTCTTCCATCCTCCGAGTCCGTCGTGGCAACCTTCGCAGCGACTCCAACGATACCGGTATGGGCATTGTTGGCTTTAGTAGACCAGTGAATAGAGAGGTGCTTCACCAACTACTAGTAGAGCAGGGCAGGCTGGTAGTCGGTAGCTGCAGTCGGTGACTTGCTGGCGTGGCGCATGACGTAATACCCTCTTTGTTCTGATATTGCGTTTCGCAGGTCGTCGCTCACCAAGATCAGTTGCGTTGGTCACATTTTTAGACTCGGCTTCTGCGGCAAGGACGGCGGCGACGACCATGGAGGGCTGGCTCACCAAGCGGCGCGACCACATGAACATCATCTGGAGTACGTCCTCATGGAGCATGGAGCTAGGTAGACGCTCCATCTCATGCGCTTCCGTGTGTAGCGGAGCGCTATTTCATCCTCGACGGCAACAACCTGCGCTACTACAAGAAGCGGGGCGACCCCGCGCCGCGAGGCGCGTATGTGCTCACGGACGGCTGCGTCGTGGGCAAGGTCTTCAACTCGGAGGAGAAGCACAAGCACCATGAGCCGGTGTGGATGTTCCGCATCACGTTTGCGGTCGAAGCGGGCGAGAAGAGCTACAAGAAGGACCGGTTTGTCGACCTCGGCGCCAAGACGGAGGCGCTCGCGAACGAGTGGAAGAAGACGCTCGAGCAGACCATCTCGGGCGTGAAGGAGATGTTCAAGCACGTGCGCACGATGAAGTACGAGGCGGACCTCGGTGCCACGAACCCCGAAGTCGTCTCGAAGCTCCTCGCCGAGGACGAAAACATCTCGCTCTTCAACCTCGACGAAGACAACGCCAAGGCCGAGCAAGGTATTGCTGACAGACCCCTTTGACGTGTCTCATATTGTCTCCTAGGATGGTGGCTCGCGCGCGTTGAGGACGGGCTGCGCATCATGCAGGAGTGCCCGTTGGGCCACCAAGTGGCAGCATCCATGTATGCACACCACGCGACGCTCGCCAACAACCTCCTCTTTGCGTCTGCAATCAGCTCCGTCCTCGCGTTCAGCATCATGTACTCGTTCATTCACAACATGCTCATCTGCATCCTCACGGCTGTCGGCGCCATCGTTGTACGCTGACGTCCATACCTTTTCTGTGATCTCATGCACATGCGTAGGTGTGTGGCATCACGCTCATGCCCAAGTCGTACATTGAAATTCCGAGCTTGCGCGTCTCCCAGGTCGTGCACGGCTCGCCCACGGACGTCTTCCGCCTCATCATGAACCCGTCGCGGTACCAGCGGTACCAACATGTCTCGTTGTCCAAATCGCTCATGTGCCACATACAAGGTGGGACTCGTCGGTGGCGTCGATGAAGGTGATCCAGACCATGGACGACCACGCCGACATCATTTACATTACGCTTCGCCCCGTGTACATTTGGCCCATGTGGCAGAAGCCGCGCGACCTCGTGCTCATGCGCTACTGGCGCCGCGAGGAAGACGGCTCGTACTTTGTCATGTACCAGAGCACGACGCACCCCGAGTGCCGCGTGCGCCACAACTATGTGCGCGCCAACCTCCTCGGCGGTGGCTTTGTCATTGCGCCGCAAAAGACTGCCATCGCGGGCGGCGTCCGGTCGCTCGTCACGTACGTCCTCCGGTACGACCCGAAGGGCAGCGCCGCGCTCTACCACCAGCTCGGCATGGACGTCGACATGGTCGTCCCGATGCTTCGCGCGATCGTTGGTATTCGCGACGAAATGAACACGAACGACTTTATCACGCCCATTGTGACCGTCTCGGAGCCCGCGTCGACGGGGGCCGCCGGGCGCAGCGAGCTCGGCGCCACGACGGTCGATGCGGCCGGCCTCGTCAACGGCGTCAAGAAGTGGAAGACGTCGCTGCCCGAAAAGATGTGGGGCGAGCCGGACGCGTCCCTCTTTGCCGTGCGTGGGCCCAACTACCTTGTCGATAAGAAGAAGACGCCGTCGGCGCCGTCGCGCTTCCACCTCGTTGGTGTCGATCTCCTCTCGTACGAAGTCGCGTCGGAGCGCTATCATGTCGCGTCGCGCCCCGGGTCGCTCGTGCAGAGCGCGACGAGCTTTACGTTTGTCGTCAACATGATCATCCCGAGCCCCAACAATTTGAGCATGGTCTTTTACTACCAGCCCGACTCGGCCAACATCTTTACCGAAAACACGCCGTTTTCCGAACTCCTCAACGACTTTTTGGACGGCGACGACGCGTTCCGGAACTCGCGCTTCAAGCTCATCCCGACGGTGGTCGAAGGCAGCTTTATCATCAAGCAGAGCGTCGGGTCCAAGCCGACGCTGCTCGGCAACAAGCTCAAGTGCCCGTACCACCGCGGCGACAACTACTTTGAGGTCGACTTGGACATTTCGTCGAGCTCGGTCGCCAACACGGTCGTCGGCATGGTCACGGGCGTTACCAAGATCCTCGTTGTCGACATGGCGTTCCTCCTCGAGGCGCAGACGGAGGAAGAGCTCCCGGAAGCTATCCTCGGCACAGTGCGATTGCAGCACGTGTCGCTCGACAACCCAATCAAGGTCCCCAAGCTCCAAAAGTAACCGCGGACATTTTTACTAGGATATGGCTACACTCAATGTACATGGTCTCTATCTCGTCCTATTGACATTATCGCGACGGGTCGGGCTCGAGCTGCGTGTAGTCCCAAACCTCTTGGCTCATGGCCATGCCGTTCCATAGTCGGTTGACAATGCTTGCGTTGTAGAGGTCGGCGGGCGTGAGGCAGTCGAGGATCCGAAGCGCCACGTCTCTCCGCACGGGCGGCTTGTCTTCGCCAAAGAGAGGGTACACCACGAGCTTGGCCTCGCGTCGCGCTTTGAGCGGCGTCCCCGACTTCTCCTACACTCGACTCTAAGTCGTCGCAACGTATCAAGTTGATACAATACCCGTAGAATGCTGGCGCTAAACGCAAGGTCTTTGGGTGTCTTGAGGTCGAGACTCGTGGCCCGCTTGACGACGAGCGGCGTCCGTGTCTTGACGGGCGTGACCGCCGACGTCGTTCGGACCATGTTGGTGCCGGGTTTGGGCGCTGTCACATGGCGCAGAAGCGCTGGCACGGCTTTGTGCTTGGCGGCGGACCGACCCGCCGTATGCTGTGCACAGCCGCCCGGCTGGTTCTTGCAGTCCTAGACGTGACGTGAGCTCAGCCTTCGGGTATGAAGAAGCGTACGATGCACTTGCAGTTGTCGCCGCAGGGCACACCGGCCTGGAAACACTCGCAGTACTTTTTCTGGCAAAACGATTTTTTGCAGTGGCACCCGTTGTGGTGGATCGGCGTCGTCTCCTCCTTCTTGATCTTGGGCCGGAACGCGTTCGGGTTGCGCTCGAGCGTCAACGTGATGGCTTCGGTGCGCAGCGGCTCGGACGCCGGCGTGTTGGCGCACCCGACGCACTTGCAGCTCTCGTCGCAAAAGCCCCCGGACGCAAAGCACTCGCAGTAGAGCTTGAGGCACTTGGACTTCTTGCAGTTGCACGGATTTCGCTTCTTGGGCGTCACGGCGAGTGTCGGTGGCGGGACCACGGGCACTGGGACTTCGTGCTTGATGCGGACGGTCGGCGCCGAGAGCCGCAGCTTCTTTGCAACTGTCGCAACGACCGGCTCCTCGCCTTTGACGTCGTCGACGTCGTCGCTCATGTCGAGGCGCTTCGTGACCGACTCGATGTCCCGCGAGACGACTTTGAGCTTGCGTGGCGCGGTCGTGGGCGGCGTCGGGCCCGCAAGCCGCATGCTGTGGCCCAAGCTCAGGCTGGTTTCACTCAGCGCACGCACGGCCTTGGCATTCTTGGTCGCGGCCTTGTTCTCCTTGCGCCTACATCGCCCATTATGTCTTGTGGGCGCGACAATGGATACGCGTACAAGGAATCGTTGATGGACTTGAGGCTTTGCTGCGTGCTTAGTGTGCTCGAGAGCTGGATGACGGTCGCGGACCCGGGCGTGCTCTCGGCGCGGTGGAGACGACCCGGCGTTGCGCTCGTTGACGCCTGAAAGTTGGGAAACGACGTCGCAAAGGCCGAGGATGGCGAGCAGTCAAAGTCGAGACGCTGCGCGACGCGAGGGCACTCGGTGTCGGTGTCGGGCGTCATGTCTTGCCGGAACGGCGGCATCCTACACGCGCTGCATGAGCGGGCATCACGACACATGCAAATTGCGCACAGCTTGGTGAGTGAGCCCATGAGGACGGGCGTGAGCGGCGCGAGGCGCGTCGATAGCGCTGGCGACGCGGCCTCGTCGAGTGTGCTAACGTCGACAATCGGCGGTAGTGAGTGGGCAAACGAGAAGAAGCTCTGGTGGTCCTGCTCGGTGGTCTTGATGGGCGACATGAGAAAGCGGAATTGGCCCTTCTCGTGGTCGTCGATCTTCCAGTCCGAGAACGGGCTCAACACGTAGGCCGAGGCGTGCTGCTGCTTGTCGTCCATCCAGCTGCGCTTCCGCGTCCGGACTGGCGTCGTATGGCCCTTCTCCGTCTCCTTCTTGCTGCTGCTGCTGTACGGCGACCGGAAGAAGCTCGAGGGCGAGTAGCCGGCGGGCGTCGTCGCCTCCTTCGTAGGCGCATGGCGCCGGGCGGCCGGCGACTCAGCGCCATGCCAGTCGGCAAGGAAGTCTACCTCGGTCGTCTCGGCCATCGTCGTCCGCGCCAATCTAAAAGTTGACCTCGCCAATCAAGGTGCACATCCTCTACAACTTAATACGTTGAAGGTCGCCGCGCGGGAAATGTAGCCGCGCACTTGATGTTTGTATAGCGGTATCCGGACGCCGCGCGATTGGTCAAAAAGAAGCGGGAACCACTCACGGCCATCGCGTATGATTGGCTGAAATGGAGCGCACGACCCGCGAAAAGCCGTGGGCGATGCCACGCCGCGGATGACACGCTCGGGTACAACGGCCCACTCTTGGCCTCGTTGCCGATCGCAGTGTCTCTGACACGCCGCTTCTTGCACTGCGAGACTTGATACGGCAATGTCGCCATCTTCCGAGCCAAATTTCGCGCCAAAAATACCTGCTCCTGAGATCCGATGAAACATCAAAGTACATGGACGAAGCGCCTCCAGCTCTAGCTCTTAGAATCACTCGAGCGCTGCTCCACGGTGCTGTACTCGAGCACGCATTTAGAGTGACGCGAGTGGCCTACGGGTTCCCTCCCGACAATACTCGAGGCTCTGAAGCAGGGACTACAATGTACGAGCAGGAGACAACTTGTCCGACATGCATGGATCGACGTGTCTCAACGCGTGTGGACTGAAGCTCATAAGGTCGTGGCTACTGCAGGCTGCGTTGCACGATTAGTGGGTGCCGACAGATCTGCCGGAGCTCCTCGTCTCCGACGCTAGCAAGACCAAGTGGGGATGCGTCTTCTCGATGTAGCGGCAGTCAACGCATCGCAAGAGCTCGTACATTTCGCAGGGTTGAGAGTGGGAAAGTTGCGTGTTTTCAGCGGCACTATTTTTTCGATGCCGAGCGTGTTTGTGACCGTCGGGACCACGTCCTTTGACGCGCTCGTGGCGGCGCTCGACACGCCCGCCGTGTACGCGACGCTGGCGGCGGCTGGATACACGCAAGTCGTCTTCCAGATCGGGCGCGGCAGCTACGAGCCGTCGGCGATCGAGGCGCCGGTCCGCGTGACGAGCTATCGCTACAACGCAGCGTACAAGGCCGACATTGAGGCGGCGTCGCTCGTCATTAGCCACGCGGGCGCGGGCACCATCATGGACGTCCTCCACGAGCGCAAGCACCTCATCGTCGTGCCCAACACGCAGCTCATGGACAACCACCAGACGGAGCTCGCGAGCGCGCTCGCCGACCGCCGCCACCTCTTGCAGGCAGCACTGGCCGAGCTGCCCACGCTGCTGGCGACCATGAAGTGGGACAACATTGAGCCCTACCCGCAGGTCGACGAAGACGCGTTTCCGCGCCTCGTGGACGACATGATGCTCGGGCCCCATGCGACGTGACGCGGCAATAGATAGCATTATAGGTGTGTGCTTAGGCATCGTCTTCGCCATCCTCGTCATCCTTGTCCTCGCTGTCGTCTTCTTCGTCCTCGCTGTCGTCTTCTTCGTCATCGTCGTGAAAGACCAGTTGTTGCTGCATCTGAAATGACGTGGATTTCTGCAGCTGGAGCTGGAGCTTGGTGGGCGTCGGCAGTTTGCTCAGAAGCATGTGGTTGGCTCGCTGGAGGCGCGCAATCTCAGCTTCCTTTTCACTCAGCGACGTCGAGAACTGCGTCACGAGCCGCTGCAGCTCGGCGTTCTGGCTCTGGACACGGGTCATGTCCTAACCCAAGAGGTCGCACGGGTCAGAACTAGATAACACTAGATACATACCGCATCGCCAAGCCCCCGGCGCTTGGTCTGCGACTGGAGCGCATCTTCAAACTCAGTCGCTTCGTCCTGATACCGCTTGATATTGGCCTTGGCTACCGAGAGCTCGACTTGCAGCCGAGATCGGTCCTTGAGCTGCGCCTCAATGTCAGCAATCGACCGCCCGCCCTGCAGTACGCTGCGTGTCGTTGCCACTCCAAGAGCATTCATTACGTACCTTGACGAGCCGCTTGAGTTCGTTCGCGAGACCCGTGGCTTTGGCCTTGAGCCCGTTGCGCTCTTCGGTGAGCTTCATGTGCTGCTGCTGCAACTCGACCAAGTCCGCGCGCACCTAGCATCTCACTGTCCCCACCAAATGAGAAAGCAAGTCGTCCGTACCTTGCGCGCATCCGTGTCGGCGCATTGGAGCTGCTTTTCCAGCTGACGTATAGTGTCGTGGGCCGCAGCGAGCGCGACGTCGGCGGCGCTTTTCTTGGCTTCCAGCGCACGCATTAGCTCCCGGAGACTCTGCGTGGTAGCTTCCAACTAAACAACCACAGACCATACGCCCAGAGTCGGCAGTTGATCCGCACCTTTTTGCTGCGCTCGTTGGCTATTTTAGCCGCCGAGAGCTCCGAGACGAGTGACTCGAGTCGACTGTGCAGCTGCGTGGACTCGGCTTTGGCTTCGTCGAGCTTGCGGTCTCGGACCTCGACCGCGATCGCCATCAAGTTGCGCTCGTTTTGCGTGGCCTTGATCACAAGCGCTTGCGACGCGACTTGTCGCTACCCACATGTCGTCGTTTCCTCTCTCGGGGCAGAGAAAGAGAAATAAAGCGCGTACGCGGAGGTCGGCGATGACCGCCGCGTCATCGACGGCCTTGGTCGACGCACTGCGCTTGAGAGTCGGCTTGACCACGGGGTCATGACACTCGGTCGTTGCGTCTTCAGCGTCGTCGTCCATGAGATGTTCAAGACTACGCATTGTGCAGGTGGTATCCTCGATGCATACACGTTGACCCGTACACAGTCTTTTCCATCGGCGAGCCTGCAAAATGAGCTTCCGTTGCCCGCACCGACGCGACCGCCTCCGTCGACAGCAGCGCATTGCGGAACGTGCGCAGCGCCAGGGCAATGATATCGCGCGACGCTGGTGTCTGCGCCACGAGGTGGATCGCGCCGACGTGCGCCATGTCCAACGCGCACAACTCGTTGGGGCGTGTACCGATCACGTCGCCTCCGGCTTGGAAGCGCAGCACAAAGCTTAGGGCGTCTGCCGCGTCCAGATAGATGTGCGTCTCGACCGAGTAGTCGGCTTGCACGACGACGCCGCACTCGTCTTCGGCAATTTTGAGAAGCGTGAGGCCATTTCGGTTGAGTTTGAGTTGAAAGCTGTTGTCCGTGTCCGAGTGTGCCAACGTCGCCTATGTCATTCGGCATCAAAATGACAAACTAACTAGAAAAAGTGGCTACCGAGAAGGAGCCCGAGCCAGCTTCGACGACCATTTGCACCGTCTCCTTGATCGAGGGGTCTGCAGAGCATGTGAGATGACGATTGCGAGAGTGGCAAGAGACCGAGGACGATAGGGCCATAGACGGCAACCTTGCCGCGCGTCGGTGACGCGCCGTCGTGACGCGGCTGGCCGTGGCATTGCACGTACAGCAGCGCCTCGGCATCGTCCAGCGACGGCTCGTAGCGCTCGTGCGTCGCACCGCGAAGAATCAAACACTCGGTGGGCGACGTCGACCGGTACCACTGGAAGAGAACGTCGCCTTCGTCTTCGTGGGGCGAAAGCACGCGGGAGGCGGCGACGACGCGCAACAACGTGGTGTGGTAGACGCTTGCATCCGGGGTTGCGGTCTCGGGCTGGATCGAGATCCCACGAACGAGGCTCGAGAGCGCTTCATCTACGCGCCAATGTAAGCTACGTCCTTACGCCAGTACGATACCTCGTTCGTCCGGGCGCTTGCCCGGGAGCATCTTGGAGAGGAGCGTCGTGGACGTTCGGCTCACTTTTTCCAGCGAAATCGAGTCTTGCCAGGTCCGGAATTTGGTTTGAAAGTTGCTGTCCACCTGCATTATGTGGTATACAGGTTGCACCTACTGCTGCAGACGGAGGTACCTGGAGGGGCGGCGACGGTGGCTGCCCCGTCGGCTGTGGCGGAGGCGACGTCCACGAAACACTTGTAGCGGGTCCACTTGGTGACTCGGTGAAGGACGCATGGCGTGGGCTCTCGTGGGTCGGCTTTGCGAGTGGATCGTTGCCGAACGACGCCCGCTTTGTGCGGCCATCAAAGATCTGACCAAACTTGGTGCCAACGGCGGCGGCCCAGCTGCCACCAGCGGGCGGTGTCGACGGCATGGACGGGAGGTCGCCGAGCGAGCTATTACGTCGGTGCTTGCTCGTGTCGATGTGCGAAGCGGTCGGGAAGAAGTCGGGAACGTGCGCTTTCGGTAAAATGGTCAGTGTGAGCGGGAAACTGGCGTTCGTCGCCTCCTTGATGATCTGGCCAAACGGGAGTTGCGTGCAGTCGATCGCGTTGAGCGAAATGACCATGTCCCCGACGGCGACGAGCCCGGACCTCTCGGCTTCGCTCTTGCCGCCATGACTCGTGGGCCGAAACGACTTGATGACGGCGCCGAGATGAGGTGGTGGACGGGAGCTCAGGTCCAGAAAGAGAGGTCCCTTGGATTCGTACCGGACGTGCCGTAGGAACGGCTGCATGCGGCTCGCCACGTCGAGCACATGGGGTAAGGTTGGCGCCTGGTCGACCTCGGGCGAGTCCGATTTGGGCGAGAGGCCGTCCATCGGTGAGCATGAGGCGGACGTCGACATGTATGTCTTGGCGGTTATGAAGCCATGGTCGTCGTCGTCCTGGCGGAGGATGCTCTCTTCGTCCTCGACCTCGATCTTCCCCACGGCCGCGGCCATCGCTCTCTGTTGCAGCGGGTTGTCGGTTGAGTATTTTTAGAGTCGCCCGGCATCCGGATAGCATATCCGGGATGCGGCGATCCACGCTGTGCGTCGACCGGTTGCCACGTCATTGATGCAAACTGTGTCCAGCTCCAGGCGGTAACTTGACGGCTCTTGCAAGGCAGCCAGACGCACGACCCGAACGACTTCGTAGGGCGCATGGGAGACGGTTGCTCTTGCGAGCACCGCAAGGAATGTTCTATCGTTCTTCCTTCTCGGACCTCGGAGGAACACTCTGGGCATCGATGCGAGCTGGCACGAGCTCTCTTGATAAAATTAACACCAGTACCTTGTGTCCTGTCGCTCGCATCTGTCGACAGCTCCTTGCGTGCTCGCTCGGCAAGGAGTCGGTTCGAAATTCGCCAGGAGATGGCTGGGCAGGCACACATACTGCAGCTGCTATGCACTGCGAATACATGGCGCCTGATTCCGCCTCCACCCTGGCGACTGCGGCTACATGCGATTGGTGCTGTAGGCCACTTGCCCCGTGCTTGGCGCGGCCTGCGACTCTGGCCGTTGCCCAAGGGTGGCGTCGGGTGGCGTCTCTCGATGCCCACTGCGTTCGTCTGGCGCTGGGCACAGTGGTGAGATTGCATCGACGACAACGACCACAAGAACGGACCTGTTGATTCAACGTTGAAATTCAAGTATGATCTTATGGAGGTTTAGGACCTCGAGCGGGCGGAACAGATCCACTCTCAGAGGTACATTCTAAAATAGTGTAAAGATACCATCGCCTGCGCCAGCGTTGAACGGAGGGGTACCGTGCTCGTTGGTGCATTCTATGACCTTTTGCAGGCTTGCGGCGCGCGGCGCACGAGTTGGATGCTGTGTTGTGCGCAATGGCGCCAAAGCGGACGCGGGGGGCGTACGATCTTTCGCACACTATTTCATGCGTCTCAGCTTCGTTTTTTGTGGTAGGCGTATCCGGCGGCGTTATCCGGAGATATCCCTGGCCCTTGAATGGCCATTTCCGATTTGCATCGATGGACTCGCTCAAGACGCAGGTGAGCCAGCTCTCCGTCGACGACGGCAAGACGCTCGAGTGGCCCGCGGCCCGCATCCGCGAGACCTTCGTCAACTTCTTCACGTCGCACCCGGCGCTGCCTCATGACGAGTACAAGTCGTGCCCGGTCGTGCCCCTCGATGACCCGACCTTGCTCTTCATCAACGCGGGCATGAACCAGTTCAAGCCCATCTTCCTTGGCCAGGTCGACCCGTCGCACCCGATGGCCAAGCTCAAGCGCGCGACCAACTCGCAAAAGTGCATCCGCGCCGGCGGCAAGCACAACGATCTCGACGATGTCGGCAAGGACGTGTACCACCACACGTTTTTCGAGATGCTTGGCAACTGGAGCTTCGGCGACTACTTCAAGAAGGACGCGGTCGACATGAGCTGGACGCTCCTCACCAAGGTCTTTGGCCTCGAGCCCGAGCGCCTCTACGTCACGTACTTTGGCGGTGATGAGAAGCAGAACCTCCCGGCCGACGAGGAGACCCGCCAGCTCTGGCTCAAGTACGCACGACCATTCTATTGCAGGCAGAAAGCTCATGTAGCCTGTATCTAGGTATGTCCCGTCCGAACGCGTTTTGCCGTTTGGCTGCGCCGACAACTTTTGGGAAATGGGTGACGTCGGCCCGTGCGGCCCGTGCACGGAGATCCACTACGATCGCATCGGTGGCCGCGACGCCGCGGCGCGCGTGAACGCCGACTTCCCCGATGTCATTGAGATCTGGAACAACGTCTTCATCCAGTTCAACCGCGAGACTGATGGCTCGCTCGTGACCTTGCCGTCGCAGCACGTCGACACGGGCATGGGCTTTGAGCGTCTTGCGTCGATTCTTCAGGGCAAGATGTCCAACTACGATACGGACGTCTTCATGCCGCTCTTTGGCGCCATTCAAGCGCTCTGCAAGTCGGAGCCGTACACGGGCAAGCTCGGCGAAGAAGACCCGACGCTCAAGGACATGGCGTACCGCGTCGTTGCTGACCACATCCGTACGCTCAGCTTTGCGATTGCCGATGGCGCTGTCCCGAGTAACGAAGGCCGTGGCTACGTCCTCCGCCGCATCCTCCGCCGTGCCGTCCGCTACGGCGAGCAGTTCCTCCACGCCCCGCGCGGCTTCCTCTCGAAGCTTGTGCCCGTCGTTGTCGAGATGCTCTCGGGTGCTTTCCCGGAGCTCAAGACCAAGCAGGCGCACGTCACCGAGATCATCTTGGACGAAGAAGTCTCGTTCGGCCGCACGCTGAACAAGGGCCTCGAGCGCTTCAAGAAGATCGCGACGGCCATGAAGGCTGAGAAGAAGACCGTCGTCTCGGGTGAAGACGCGTTCTTCCTCTACGACTCGATGGGTTTCCCCGTCGACTTGACGGAAATCATGGCCGAAGAGCAGGGCCTCACCGTCGACCACAAGGGCTACGAAGAGCAGATGCGTCTCCAGTCGGAGCGCTCCAAGCAGGACCGCAAGAAGGGCGGCCTCCACGGCGTGCGCCCGCTCGTGCTCGAAGCCGCCGAGACGAGCCACCTGGCGTCGCTCCACGTTGCGCCCACGAACGACGAGCCCAAGTATGCCCAGGCCAACGTCTCGGCCAAGGTCGTCGGCATCTTTGCGACGACGGCGACGACGTCGGCGTTTGTCGACAAGACCGTTGCTGGCGAGTACCAGGCGATCGGCGTCATCTTGGACACGACCAGCTTCTACGCGCAGTCGGGCGGTCAGATCTACGATACGGGTGCGCTTGTGAGCAAGGCCGGCCACGTCGATGTCAACGCGGTCGAGTCGTACGCCGGCTACACTCTCCACATGGGTCCGTTGACGTCGGGCGCGCTCGCGGTCGGCGACGTGGTCGAGGCCAAGGTTGACTATGTCCGCCGCAACAAGATCGCGCCCAACCACACGATGACGCACGTGCTCAACTACGCGCTTCGCAAGGTGCTCGGCGGCACGGTCGACCAGCGCGGTTCGCTCGTCGACGACGCGCGCCTCCGCTTCGACTTTACGACCAACAAGGCGCTCAAGCCCGACCAGATCGCGGCCGTCGAAGGCATCGTCAAGGAGATCATCGCGCAGCAGCTGCCCGTGTACATCCAGGACGCGCCCCAGGCCCACGCCAAGCGCATCCAAGGCCTCCGCGCCGTCTTCGGTGAGACGTACCCGGACAACGTCCGCGTCGTCTCGATTGGTGCGGCGATTCCGTCGATGCTCCAGGACCCCGAGAACGCGGCGTGGGCCCAGTACTCGGTCGAGTTCTGCGGTGGTACCCACCTCACCAACACGAAGGAGGCGGTCGCGTTCGCTTTGCTTGAAGAAGGCGCGATTGCCAAGGGCATTCGCCGCATGAGCGCGTCGACGGGCCAGGCGGCCATTGAAGCGGGTAAGCGCGCGGACGCGCTCCAGGCCCAGCTTGAAGCCATGGCCAAGGCGCCGGTGGCCGAGATCGCTGCGGCGGTCGCTGCCTTCCGCCCGCAGCTCGATGCCAGCATCATCTCGCTCCCGCGCAAGGAGGCGCTTCGCGGCCTTCTCAACGACTTGGTCGAGAAGATCAAGGCGTGGCAGAAGGAGGAAGCTGCGGCCCGCGCGGCCGCCGGTGTCAAGACGGTGTCGGCCCTCGCGGCGACGGCGCTTGCCAACCACCAGGAATTCTTGGTCCTCAACTTGGAGCTCGGCACGGATGCCAAGCTCGGCAACCAGCTCTTGGAGGCTATCACGCAGGTGCACCCGCATGCGAGCGCGATCGTCTTCAGCGTCGACGCCGAGGCGGCCAAGACGGCGGCGTTCTGCCAAGTGAGCCAGAAGCACAACGGCGAGAAGCAGTTGGATGCCAAGACGTGGGTCAACGCGGCCATGGTCTCCATGGGCGGCAAGGGCGGCGGCAAGAACGCCTTCAACGCCACGGGCCAGGCCAAGACGACCGACAATTTGCAGCAGGCGATCCTCGACGCCAAGAAGTTTGTCGGCCTCAACTAAGTGCACGGTAGTAGGACTAGGTACTAATTCATGTGAAAGATGATCATTCTTCCTTTGGACACTGGTGAAGAAGATGAGGTGAAGTACAAAACTGTTGGCTGAAGCTAGAGCACGCAGGCCCGCTGTCCACAATGGTGGCAGCCTAAATACAATCGCTGGAGCGCCGACCTTGCGAGATGCGAGTCGTCCGTCGCCATGTCATACACCGTGTCGACGCCTTGCACATGGAAGCTCGGGTCTTCGCCGCAGTGCTGCCTAAAGACACGCAGGCATGAGAGACCGTCCGTGGCACGAAATGCCATTGGGATACCGATGAGCATGGAAGGCCGTCGCCAACGCGCCTTGGAACTCGGACAAGGCCGAGGTCTCGGGGTCGGCCGGGAAAGGCAGGCGAAAGCCGCACCGACACGACACCACGCGCGTCTCGATGTCGTCGGTCCAGTCGATGGCCTCGTCCAGACCCGACTTTTTGCAGATCGGACAGAGCACAAACTCGGCTTGCTGGCAGAGGTCGAGGTCCTCCAAGTCGGCGATCCACGCTTCCTCCTCGGCGAGCGCGGCCTCGGCCTGGAGAAGGTCTTCGTGCATGATCTCGTCCCGGAGCGCAGCTTCAAGGCTCATGAGGATCTCGAGGTAGTCGTCTTGGGAGAGCTCGCCGTTGACGAGAAGCTCGTCCATCGCATTGACCTCAGAGACGTCCATGACCTCGGCGGCGACGTCGGAGAAGCAGTTGCGGAGGTTGTCGAGGATCCGCTTCCGGTGCTTCTTCATGTGGTCCATGCAGCGCTTCTTGATGCGCTCCTTGAGGCCCATGGGGCTCATGAAGGTCACGTCCCGGCCTTGCGCGGCCCAGCGCTCCTTGCCGCGGACTCCCGCCATCATGCTCTTCTCGGAAATACCCGCGCCGAGGTGGGATCTCGATACAAGCGCAACCACACCCTTGTTACAAGAACTTAACGCGCGGTTTCCACGCGCGCTCATTGGTCCGCACCACACGTCACCGTATTTTATTCCTGTGTACCTGAAGTTTGTATACCAGGTCGTATTTCGTTTTTAATAACAATCTGGTTCGACACCCCGGGGTACACCAAGTTGAAGTTGCTTACGCGACGACGTCGCCAGCGACACCAGCATGGAGCAATCGTCATCGCACCGAAGCTGGGTGATCATGTGTAGGACGAAGGAACCAAGCCGACGACTAACTAGGAAAGCGGGCCAAACGCGGGAGGGACCATCCAGGCAGTAGACAGTAGGAAGAATTGCAGTATTAGTATCGAGAAAAAAATTAGTCTAAACGGTCGCACACGTAGTTGTAATTCTTGGACGTCTACTCGGTCAGGAGCTTGAGCTTTTCGTAGGCCGAGTTGATAATGCCCCACGAGACGAGCGACCGGACAAAGTTGATGTGCACGCCTCGGTAGACGTGTCGCCAGCTGTGGTCGCGTTCGACGTACGTTCGTCGCAGGGCCTCGGCGACACCAATGTACTCGCCACCATAAATACTTTGCATGCGCGTCTTGGCGACTAATCCAGATGCGGTTGAGACGACAAGGTAGAGCATCATGGCGTACCGTTGAGGGGGAAGAAGAGCGTGCTGAGGAAGGCGCCGAGGACCGCGCCCGACACAAAGTCGGCGGCCAGCGTCATGTGCGGTGTCGTCGTCTCGGGCAAAAAGTCCCGGACGTTCTCGCGCAACCCAAAAAAGACAACGTTCGACGGGCCGTTGCGGAGCAGGACGGCCGAGAGGCCTCGGTAGTGCTCGCGCACGCCGAGCATGCTGATCCGATGAAAGGCGTCGATCGCGCCCTTGAACTCGTTGTTGTACTTGACGGTTTGCAAAAGAGTTTGCGCGCGCTACGCGTCGTCGTGAGCGCGAGCAAGTTGCATGTGGCGTACCTCGAACGGCGTCAAAATCGCCTCGGACGTGCCCGAGAGAAAGGCCGCGTAGTGCGACGTCGCAATGCCGTTGATGTGGTTGCCATACTCGTCCGTCATCGCGTCGTTGTAGCAGTTGTAGAGGCCAAACATGAACGACTTGGCGACCGCGGCTTGCATGAGTGGCGGGCGCACGCCGCGGTACAGCATGTTCCAGCCGTCTTGCTGGAGACTTTGCCACGCTTGGACGGTCGATGAGCCATAGAGCTACAAGGCATGACGAGTTGGCCTCCATGTGCATCTCGTGCAGAAGCGTACTTGCTGGCGGAACATGATCTTGTTGGGCACGAAGGTCAAGACGATGTTGATGGCGGCGGCCGTGCCACCGCAGGCGAACTCGCGCAGGTTTGGGTTCTGCGCAAAGAACCCGGTCGACTCGACGGCCATCGAGTCCATGGAGGTGGCAGGAAGATGGGCGACGACGACGACGATGGACGCGCTCGTGTGCCCACGGCGAATGCGTTCGAATGACGCAGGCTTCAGAGCCCGCGCATCCGGATACACCTGGGAGGTTCCATTGTCTGCAGTCTTGTATGCCTGGCGCGAAATATAAAAACGAGGCCGGATTAAAATAGCATTTCCGGATACATCGCAACCCGAGAAAATGAATGGATTAAAGTCCAAAATATCTGCGAATCAGACGCGCCGACAAGCATCAAATATAGCCAATCAAAGACGAGGATTACGTGGCTTGTCACATGGGTCAGGCAGGGGCACGCAGTCGGCAACTCACCACAGCAACAGGGCGAAAATGATAAGCCTGCGCACGCAACTTGTGGGAACGAGCTCGCGCCAATAACGCTCGGCTGAAAGAGGCGTGCCGAGTGAAGATCAAGCAATCCCATGACGTCACTGCCGTGTTCTAACAAGCAAAAGTGAGATAACCGGTTGTTATGCAAGCGCGCTGGTGCAGTCGATTTCTCCTCTCCGTGGGCGCATCAAATTGGATTCCCAGACAAGTCGCTCTCGATACAAGTTGTTCTATTAAGGCTAACGGGAGAAGATTGCTTGGATGGCATCGACAGCATGAAATTCATCTTTCAATTGTGTGTTGGACGAGCATAATAGCTTCCGCGCACATCTCTCAGCTTTATTCGATGGACGCATTTGAAATTACATAATCTTTTGCCCAGGTCTTGTCCATCTACTACCGCACTTGCACGAAGTTGTGGGTCTGTGTAAGTTGTTGCCGGCAGAAAAAAGCTCGTTTTCATTGGTTGTAAATTCTGGCAAATTTAGCCAATCCTATGCCAACAGGTCGCCCGCCCACGGATCCAAGACCGATCTGAGGCGCCGATCGCGTTGAAAAATGAAGGTGCTCAAACTTTGTATATTGAAAGAGCACACTTGGGCAAGCTCATAATGCTATGGCACATCGTCCGACAAGGCGTGCAGCCATCGCTATGGCCAATTGTATTATATATGGTACATGCCATTTTTACCACATACAGCCATGTTTAGTACTCGCCTCTTGGTCATCCATCAACCACACCGGATGCAACCCACGATGCGATCCCGTCGTGCACGATACTAGCGCACGCGGCTGCAGCAGAGTGCTGAGAACCGCGTGCGTGCTGGCGTCTTTGCTGTTGACCTGCAATCGACTCCCAGGACGAAGGACAATCAACCATACACAATTTGTCATTTTCCTAACGTGTCCGCGCGAGCTCGGTCTGCACGATGGACGGCCACGCCTTGGTGAGCGACGTCTTGTGCTCGTCTTTGACCCACTTGAGGAGTTCGTCGAGGAGAAACTTGGGGTTCTTCTTCCACTGCGCGGAGAGCGTGGCGCGCGTGGCAATGTCATTTCTAATTTTCAAATATACCATGAGACATTGCCACTTGGTATCTAGTGTACCGCTCGAGGGCCATGACGAGCAGCTGGATCTTGGCGTCAAACTTCTTGCGCAAGAGCGAGGCACTGGGCTCCTTGAGCCGCGTCGCAAACGGCAGGAGCGACGGCACGACCGCGCCGTCCAAGAGGCAGCGCGCAAACCAGCGCACGCGCATCGTCCCCGCGGGGTACTCGACCTGTTGGAGGTTACGACGCCACTCGGTTCTGACAGGGTGGGTACCGTCACGACGGGCAGCTCCCATTGGTGCACGCCGTACACGGGCTTGACAAAGCAGTCGACGCGGTCCAAGGCTGCGTTGTAGCGCGGCGCGGGCGCCGTCAGCGGCTCCGAGAGCTTGCAGAGCGGCGACGACTGCGCAATTGCAAAGAGCCAGTCGGGCTCGATCGACGTGACGGTCTTCATGCACGCGCGCGACGACCGGACAATGGTGTTGTAGACCACAAACGACGGCAGCTAACATCGACCATTAGCAGTCGTGATACGATGCATGTAAAGGTACCTTGGCCGGCTCGCGTGTAAAGACGTGCGAGTGCGGATGAATGTAAATCGGCTCGTTCACAATGCCGCTGCACGAAACGTACGCGCAGTTGCGCTCGATCTTGGTGCCTTCCGTGATGGTGCCCGGCGGTGCGCGGTGGGCAACGTGGTCGAGGTACCCTACGCCCCCATCCAATCAGAGGTGTCGACACAGTGGTGACGCACCGGCCGCGACGATTTGGCGAATTGTGTCTTGCTCCTCGGGGCTCGGCGGCGGCATGTTGGGGTGCAGGGCCACGGGCGTGTAGCTCGCGTCGCTCGCAAAGAGCTTGTTGACGATCAGCGTGAGCTGGCTGCGCAGCTTGAGCATTTGCTCCATGATCTAAACACATATGAGTCGTCTTGCACCTCATTTTTGTCGAGGACCTTGGCATGCAGGTGGTTTTCGTCGCAAAACGCTGGCGACGCGCCAGAGTAGGCGTATGCACCGGCCGCGCGCAGCATGCCGAGGACGTCGCTTTCTTCGTCGACCCACTGGCTGTGCTTGCGCATCTCCTCGGCTTCCTTCCACTCCTTGGCCATGTCGTCACTCATTTCTTCGGGCGAAATGACCGGCTCGTCCGGTGCGTCCGCGTCCGCTTCCTGATCCTTGCGCTCGACCGCGAGCACGAATGGCGGTTGTCCCGTCAGACTTGCGACGACCGCAATGATGTACTCGAGGCACCCGACCTGCTTGGCGATCAGGAGCATCTTGGCAAACCTACACCATTGCATTAGGAAATGACACGTGGGGAAGAGGCGGCGCACCGGGCCGCGACGGGGAAGAGCGCGAGCGTCCGCCCGAGGCTCGTGATCGTGTCGTTCTCCATGTTGAGCGCCCCGAGGTGCATGAGCGTCGTCATTGCCGCCTTGAGCGCGACAGCTTCGGGCGGCGTCGGGAACGGAAAGTTGAGGATGCGCTCAATGCCCATGGCCTTCATCTGCAAGATGACGTCTTCGATCGGCTGCGTCAAGAGCTACTCCCACACGACATCAGACCCGAGCACTCGCCAAAGATTCGACCTGGGGCGGCGAAAACTTGGGGAATTCATTCTCGTACACGGCCGACGAGTACAAGCGGTAGCAGTGGCCGGGGCCGGTACGGCCAGCACGACCCGCGCGCTGATCGGCACTCGCCTTGCTGATCCACTGCACTTGAAACTCGGAAATACCCGTCTTCAAGTCGAACACGCGCTCTTTCGTGCGGCCCGCATCGACCACATACCTAAGCATATGAGACACATGTTGTAGGGCGAGACAAATTGGCTATACCGAACGCCAGGAATCGTCAGCGACGTCTCGGCCACGTTGGTTGCCACCACAATCAACCGGTGCTTGGGCGGCGGCGCCTCAAAGACCTGCAAGCACGATACGATCGATACGATCGACAAGATATATGAGTTGTACCTTCATCTGTTCGTCGTTGGCCAGCATCGAGTAGAGCGGGAGCACGTGCACGTACGGCGTCGAGTTCTCCGTCGAGCCTTCCTCGTCGTCTTCCGGCTGGTGGTCGTTTTCTTCTTCCGAGTCGGACGCGTCCGAGTCCTTCTCGTCCAAAAGGACTTCGTCACCAAGGAGCTCGGCCTCTTCAACGTCCGCCTCCTCGTCGTCGTCGTCGTGCTCGCGGGCAAACCAGTCGTCGTTCGCATCCGACTCGCCTTGGTTGCGCCGAGAGAGCTTGCGGGCTTTTCGCGTGATCTTGGAGCCCATGGTGCGGCGCAGCTTGCGACACAGCTGGAGAATCTCGCGCTGACCCGTCAAGAAGACGAGAATGGCACCGTCGGGCAGCTTGCGGTGGATCTTGGAGACCTATGTATCAAAGTATCAATGTATCAGTATCCAACAAAATGCGGATAAATACCTTTTGATAGGCGGCGTGGACATAGTCGTTGAGCTCCGTGTGTTTGTTGAAATGCACCGAGACAGGGTACTGACGCGCGTCGACCTTGATGACTGGCGGCGGCGACGGGAAGAGCGTCTTGTTCATGGTGAAATCTTCGACCCGCAGCGTCGCCGACATGATCACCTGCAGAGAATAAGTGTTGAGACATCTGCTTGGCAAAATCGAATTGCTTACGAGCTTGAGCGGCTTGAGCGGCGGCGGCGCACTCGCCCGCTCTTCGGGCGTCATGGACGCGTACATTTCCTGCTCTTCGGCAGCCATTTGCGCGCGGAAGGGCGCGACACGCGAAAGAAGACCGATGAGGATATCCGTGTTGACGTTGCGCTCGTGGGCTTCATCGAGGAGGATGATCGAGTACCTACACACCATAAAGTTTGAGCTCTGTGATTTTTCGGGATTTTTTCATCGGAGAGAAAAGTGCCGCACTTTTTAAGCAAGAAATCTTGCTGGATTTCCTTGAGCAAAATACCGTCCGTCATAAACTTGATGCGCGTCTGCTGACCCACGTGCTCGTTATCGTACCGGATCTGGTACCCGACCGACCCGTGCTTGCCAAAGGGGACGTTGAGCTCGGTCGCGACGCGCTGGGCCGTGCTTACGGCAGCGACACGACGCGGCTGCGTCACGCCAATCATGCCTAGTCGTTCACGTTATATATGACAATATTGTGTTGTCGTGGCGTACCCGGGTTGTGTTCGTCAAAGCCGTAGCCGGCTTCGTAGAGGAACTGCGGCACTTGCGTCGTCTTGCCACTGCCCGTCTCACCGCAGAGAATGACGACAGGGTGGAGCGAAATGGCCTCCATGATCTCTTGCTCCGAGCTGCACACGGGCAGCTGCATGCGCGAGAGCTGGATCGACTCGATGCGGTTGACCGCCACAAGCGTCTTCTTGACTGCAACGACCGGCAGCGTCTCGGCGATCGCGACCATCTCAGACGTCGTTGGTAGCGGAACGGCGGCCGGGACGTACTTGGGCGCGTCGGCGTACTTGTCGGCAACGACAGGCGCGACCGTACCCGCCAGCTTTTGCAGGCGCTTTTCTTCGTTCTTTTGGCGGAGCTCGAGAAGCTTGGCCATCAGAGCCGACTGCGACGACGAGGAGACAGCCTCCGACATGGTGGCTTCGGGCGCCAGCGTTGCAACCGCCGGGGTCGCCGATGGCATCTGCACAACGTTGACGATGCTCTTGGACTTCTTCTTCTTGACAGCCGCTGCGTTGGAGTTCGTGGTCGCGGTCGTCGTGGGCGCGGCGGTTGTCGTCGCGGCAGACACCGGCGTCGACTCGGCCGTGTCCATGTCGTACTCGTCGACGACGGGCTTCTCCTGGTAGAGCTCGCTCCGCGCAGCGTCCGTGAGCGTAAGGCCAGCCTTTTCCTGGTTGACGGACCGGCGCAGACGCTCGCGAAGGGTCTCCTTGTGCCCGAGACGCGCGGTCGAGTACATAAGGTTCAGATGCGCTTGCGGCAGCTGCTGCGACTCGAGCGACTGGAGCACGACATCACGCTTGGCCTCCTTGGCCTTGCGTGCTTCGAGCTGCGCAATCTTCTTGCGCTTCGTCTTGCTGAGCTTCTTGGCTTGTGCCATGACCTCTTCGCTGATCGCCTCGGGCTTCTTCTCGGTCTTCTTCTTCTTGGTCATGATCAGCAGCTCTTCCTCGTTGCCGCCGAGCTCCTCCATGAGCTCCTTGGAGAGAAGGCCTTCATGCTCGGTGTCATCCATGGGCACATCGGCAGTCGGCGTCGGGGCCACGGCCGGCGTTAGCACGCGCTTCTTGTTGCCCTTGGCCATGCTCGAAAATGGATCGCGAGCCCAAGTACGTTGGAAATATGCATCTGATTGGCTATTAATACGGAATACACGCTTCTGATTGGCTATTTGGTGCTAAAATGTGGTCGCTCAACATGGTTGGTCGAATTGTCTAAAGCGGTCTTATTGGCTGGCACGGTATCCAAGAAATAGTGTTATGAAACGGGCGCACTGACCACGCCGATCCGATTCGATATAGTGTGCGTCCGCGGGGGTTGCAGGAGTTGCGTTGTCGCGTTCAGGAAGATCGAATGCAGCCAAGTTATTGCACGTTGCCTCTGCATGTGACATTGGGGCGCAGCACTAGATTCGCTCAAGATAGAACGCACATATTCTACCTCATAAGACCAGTACCGGTATCGTCATGTTCTTGCTGTTGTTCTATTCGACTAGACTGCGATTGCGCCGATGGATTTGTGAGCTCACGTGCAAAAAGAAACAATTCGTCTCACTCCATTCTGCTTGCCTCTCCATCAACAACGACATACGCGGAGCTAGTCCCAAGATTCCGTCGACGTTGCCAACTTCCGTGATTTCGCGCCTTTTTGCCTCCAAATACGATCAAGGTGCAGTCTTAATAGAGCCTGTAGCGAACGACTATCTAGTACATTTTAACACGCATTTTGTCGTACTTGCTTGCGCCTACTCGGTTGGCGTCGCCATTCAAGAAGCGTTCTCCGTAACCTCGGTGGGATTGGTGGTGCACAGACTAATTTGTGTATACACTATTTCCCGTCGCACACGAATTGCGTGTAAAAAGGCCAACTGAAAAGCCGCCATTGGTTGGCAGACACAGGACCTCAGTGTTGAAACAATCCTCTTGGAACGATGCCGACGAAGCGCGTGAAGGGCAAGAAGAAGCTGAAGAGCATCAAGGCCAAGCAGACGGACGCGCATGGCTCCAAGCGCCGCCTGGCCAAGCTCGGGAAGGAGCAGCGCAAGGGCATGAAGGGCACGGTCGCCAACTACATTACGCGCTCGCAGGCCATCAAGAAGCTGCAGATCACGCTCAAGGACTTCCGCCGCCTCTGCATCCTCAAGGGTATTTACCCGCGCGACCCGAAGAAGAAGGCGAGCGGCAAGGCCACGACGTACTACTACATTAAGGACATTATGCACCTCGCGCACGAACCGATCCTCAACAAGTTCCGCGAGTTCAAGACGTTTATGAAGAAGCTCAAGAAGTCGCTCGGCCGCAAGGACATCTCCGAAGCGCGCCGCAAGAACGACCAAAAGCCCACGTACGAGCTCGACCATATCGTCAAGGAGCGCTACCCGCGCTTTGTCGATGCGCTTGGCGACCTGGATGACGCGCTCTGCCTCATCCACCTCTTTGCGGTCATGCCGGCCATCAACGGCATCAAGTCGAAGCTCACGGAGACGTGCCTGCGTCTCGTACGCGAGTGGCAGAACTACGTCTCGGTCTCGCGCAGCTTGACCAAGGTGTTTGTGTCGATCAAGGGCATTTACTACCAGGCGTCGGTCCTTGGCGAGACCATCACGTGGCTCGTGCCCCACACGTTCACGCCGCAGATGGACAAGCACGTCGACCTCCGCGTCATGCTCACGTTCCTCGAGTTTTACGAAGTCCTCCTCAAGTTTGTCAACTTCAAGCTCTACACGGACATTGGCGTGGCCTACCCGCCGCAGATCGATCTGCAGCTCGACGGCGCCGGCGTCCAGCTCGCCGCCATGAAGCTCCAGAAGCTTGAGGCCCAGAACGCCCCCAAGGCGGCCAAGGCCAAGACCGACGAGGACGTCGACATGTCGGGCAACGACGATGCGGTCCGCGCGCAGCAAAAGGCGTCGGAAGGCCGCATTGCGTCGCTCCAGATCACGGCCGAGGCTGACAACGAGGCTGAGGAAGAGGTTGCCAACTACGGCAAGATGACCGAGTCGCTCGAAGCCGCGTTCGCCTCGGACGCGCTCGCGGCCCAGTTTGTCGCTGACACGAACGCCGAGGAGTCGCACCACAAGCTCTTCAACGGCCTCCGCTTCTTCCTCTCGCGTGAGGTCCCGGGCGCCCCGCTCGAGTTTGTCATCCGCGCTCAAGGCGGCGTTGTGGGCTGGGAAGGCCAGGGCTCGCCGTTCAACGAGAAGAGCGAGCTCATCACGCACCACATTATGGATCGCCCGCACCAGGGCCACCGCTACTTCAACCGCGAGTACGTCCAGCCGCAGTGGATTTTCGACTCGGTCAACAATGGCGTGCTCTTGCCGCTGGACAAGTACGTGCCGGGTGCGTCGTTGCCGCCGCATCTCTCGCCGTTTGTCGACGACGCGGCCGAGGGCTACGTGCCCGACTACCGCAAGCAGCTCGATAAGCTCAAGTCGGCGCTCGACGTCCATGCCGAACTCGGTGCGGACGAAGACGACGAGGACGACGAGGTGTCGGAGGACGAAGAAGCCGTGTTTGCGCAGGGCCTCAAGGACGAAGCCGACGGCAAGGTCGAGGCTGGCGACAGCGACGACGAGGACGATGAGGACGACTCGTCAAGCAAGAAGCGGTCGGCGCCGGCCGCCGTCTCGGACAAGCCGACCAAGAAGATGAAGAAGCAGGCCGAAGACGAGGAACTGCACGAAATGGCCGTCTCGATGATGAACAAGAAGGCCAAGAGATTATACAGCCGCATGCAGCACGGCATTGGCAAGAAGTCGGACGCTGTCAAGGCCCTCGAGGACAAGAAGAAGGCGTTGGACGCTGCCAAGAAGGCCAAGAAGTAAACGCACACACGACGACTATATTAACAGGACAACACGGTTGGATATTAGATGTACAATATTGTCTCTCTGTTGCTTTCCGTACTCCATGCTACGAGGTGTAGTACTCGCAGTCATCGCTCAGGTTGAAGTTGCAGGCGTTTCACTTTGGATGGCGTGCTGCCACCTCGTGCCGCCACGTCATAGCTGTGTGTGGAATAAGATCGGATGTTGTGGGGCTTAGACTTGTGGCGACACTAGCTTATGCGTCGAGTTGATTGCTGCTCTGGGCAGCGTCAAACCGTCGACCATGCCCAACGTCCGTCTTGGAGATCTCGGTCGCATATGCATTGCGGTTTTGCAGAATCTCGTTGGCGTGCAATCGTCGGTTCTTCTCGTGGCGCACGGTGGCTTTTCGATGGTCCTTGTCGTTGCGGAGGCGGGCTTTGGTCTCGAGCGTCGCACGCTCGTTGAGCTCGTCCTTGACTGCAAACTCGTGCTCCTTGAGGAGGGCTTGTTGGTGCCGGTACAAATGCCGCACGTTCTTGGCCATGAGCTTGGTCGCCGCGTCCGTGCGCGCATCCTACGCGTATACGCAATCAATGCGCGGGCGCCGCGTGTCCTACGGTCTGCGTCGTGCGCTGTTTGATCGTGGCTTCGCGCTCGGCGCCGAGCGACTGTTGCATGAAATGGCGTTCTTCCAGCATGTTTTTGGCCGCCCCGAGAAACATGCGTTTGTTCGCGATGAGCTCCTCTTCGTCGCGCAGGCGCCGCGCTTCGGCCTCGCGCTCGGCGCGCTGCTTGGTCATTTTGGCCGCGAGCTTGAGGTTTCCTTCGTCCCGCATTTGCTTTTCCTTTTCCAGCTTTTCCTGCTCGAGCTCCTTCTTGCGCGCCCGCGCCGCACGGTTCGCGGTCGCCGCCGACTCTATGCATTGATCCAGCCAGCTACGACAAGAAACCTTCGACTATGGTCGACGTACGGCGAATGCGCGCAATGTTTTGCACGCGGGACTTGAGGTCCTCTTCCTTGTCCTTTTTGCACTCGAGAATGTGCTCGCGGCGCTCGGCTTCCCACTCGGCCTCTTGGACCTTCTTCATTTGCAGGCGCTCCCGGAGCTCGACCAGCGACATTTCTTCCAGAAGGCCATAGTTGGAGCTCTCGGTCGGGTCAAACACCTATAAGATGCGTCTTGCTGAGAGGCGCCCGATTCAAGCAAGCGTCTATCGTACTGCCACGTGCTCGCGGTGCACGCGGTCCAGCGCGCGGATTTGGCGAATGAGGTCTTCGCGCTGGGCTTGGTCGATCGCGTCCTGCTCGGCCTTGCGCTGTCGCTCGGCCTCGAGCATTATATTGAGTTCTTCGCGCTTCCGAGCATTTTCAAGGCGAACGCGCTCTTCGGCTTCACGCGGCGCCACCTCGCGCGTCTGTTTGATGTCGGTTGCGATTTGCTGGTACTGCTGGTTGAGCTCGTTTTCTACAGATGGCAAACCTGAGGCAAGAAAGAAGTTGGTGGTATGGCAGCTACCTTCTTGTCGCCGCTTCTCGTCGTTCTCGCGCGCGACAAGCTTCATTTGAATTGCAACTTCGCGGTTCTCGGCCTTGGCGCGCAGACTAGGCGAACGGGTGGCAAGGTTTCATATCGTCGTGGGAGGGTACCTCGCCTCAATGGCTTCGTGCTGCGCCTGCGCCATCTCGAGGCGCCGCATCTCGACTTGCCGGCGGTGGTCTTCGTCGTCCTTCTTGATCATGTCGCTCTGCCATCGGTAAAACTCGGACGCATCGCGCAGGTCCGACTCGTACGCCTGCGGGACAATCAGAACGTCAATATACTGTCAGTTGTGGTAGCCGCCAACCTGAAGGATCTTGGCTTCCTTCTCTTGCTTCTTCTTGTACAATGCGTCTTCGCGCAAGATGGCCGCCGTGTTGAGTTTCACGGGCGCGTCCTTGTCGGTAAACAGCGGTGCCTACATATACAACATGTCCTTCACAATGCGCTCGACAACGATGGCCTACGGGCTTGGCTTTGAATTTGAGTTTGAGCTCGGCCATGCGGGCGTCCTCGACCTCCTTCTTGATTGCATCGAGGTTGCTTCGTGTCTCCTCGAGCTTGAACGGCTGCGCCGACGACTCTTCGTACTTTTTTAGCACCTACGCGCACCGATTCGTTTCGGTTTGTAAAGAGAAAGGGGCCAAATTACCTCCTGCTTGGCCGCCTCGCGCCGCTGCTTTTGCTGCGTCTCGAGGTCCGAGAGCGTGAGTTTGTTGAGTTCTGGCACTGGATTCGCCTTGATCTCGAGCGGAATTCGAATCGGCTCGGCGATTGGACGCGGCTTGGGCTTGGTTAAGTTGGGCGCGATCGGGATCGTGGGTTCTTTGCTCGCGACGCGGACGATGCCGCCGTTGGCCTTTAGCGTCTCGCGCGCCGCGGCCATGCCAAAGGCCTTGGCGTGGAGGTGGTCGAGGATGCTATCAATGTCGTGCTTGAAGACGAGCATTTTAGCGATCATCTCCTTCTACCAAGTTTTAAGATTGTACAATCTGACGTAGTATATGACAATAGTGTACCTCGACAAACGCTTGGTCGAGGAGGCGGATCCACTCGGCTTGGACCGGGCCTTGCAGAATCGCTTGGTCAAAGAGGTAGGCGAGAAAGACGTGCATGGACGTTGGGTTTTGCGACGAGACGATGCTTTTGAAGGCGCCAATACCGATTTCGCCGAGGCGGAAAATGCTCAGGTACGCGAGGATCATAAACTTGGTGTAGTCGTTCCGGCTCGTTTTTGCGCTATTGTCCATGTAAAAGTTGGCCAAAAACACCTTGAGCACGTCCTTGTAGCGCACGCAGCCATAGAGCACTTGGTGCAGAAAGAGGCGGTCGGCGTCGGGCACGTCGGCCAGCGCCTCGTCGACGTGCGCGTCGACCGTCATAATGTTGGGGTCATACGACTTGACGAGCGCTTCGCAGGCGCCGAGAAGCTCCTTCCGCTTCATACCGAGTTGCTATTCAAGGATCGGTTTCGACGACATACACTCTCCCCTTTGACTTGGGTGCGCAAGTAGCCACGATTTTTGGCGCCACAAATCGAAACCGAGCGAGATGCAACGACGCAGCTGTCGTCGACGGCAGCTATGAAAGGCTTCGGACGGCGAAGGGCGAGGCTCGGGAACGGGCTGGAAGGGTATTGCGCTGGCGTTGTGAGCTGCTGCAGAAGGGGACCCGAGGGCGAGTATCTTTTTTGTGTGGAGATGGGCAGTTGGCACCCAAGTGTTGTGGCAACACATCGACTCACATCGCTGACAGATGGAACACCCATCTATCATACCCGCACGGTACAAAAATACGAGCCGACGAGCTGCATGACGCGTGACGTTTGCGGTTTGCCGGGTTCGAAACCCGTACCTTGGATGGCTTGCTCATGCGGCCCGCATCGTCGCTGTCAACCACCAGGCTGGCCCATTCTTGCCTTGCACGCAGAAATTTGGTTGCGCAAAGATGCAAGGTAGTTCTGTACTTGGTCAAGCTGCAGCAGCTGCATCCTCCTCTGTGTCGCGATGGCCACGACGGTCGTGGTACGCAGTGATACACAAAAGATACGTCGAGGATGCGAAGACAATTCGATTCACTGTGAGTATGCACTAGACGATCGCTGGCTCCTGTTCTTCTTCCTCCTGGTACGGCGTCTGGGACGTGCCAAAGATGTCATCGTCTTTGGTGACCGATGGCCGCGTCGGCAGCGGGATAGGGCTAAAGCTCGCGACGCGCAGCGCCTCGATGCGGTACTTGAAGCCACAAGCGACCGACGCCATACAAAACACAAACGCGGCGATGAGCCAGTGGAACGACGCGGCGTACGACACATGCGACGGCGTCTGCACGGCCCATGCAAGCATGGTGACAATCGCCATAAAGAGCGCAAGCATCATGGCCGTGAGGTGGACGAGGGTCGCGTGGGCTTGGAGGAAGCGCTTCCCGCCGCAGCAGCCAGCGATAAGCGCAACGCACTCGGCGACGATACCGATCGCTGCAAGCGCAATGACAACTTGAATGCACGCTAGCGCGAGCCACGCCGAGACACCGCACGCATCAGCAGCAAAGGTGTCAAAGACGGACGCGTCCAAATGGGACGCCGACAGAAGGGCCGTGTACGCCGACGATGTCGTCTCAAGCGTGCAGAGGCCGGTGCCATCGATCGTCACAGAGTTGGTGTTGGTCGTCGACGCGTGGCGCTGGTAGAGGACGCAGTGGCCGAGGTACGAGCCCGCGGACGTGTCCATGCGCACGTCCGTGCAGTAGCCCCACACGCCGGCGGCAAAGGGCGTATGGAGCGTGAACGACGACCCGGTGAACGCGACGTTGTCGAGCGCCGACCAAGCGGGCACGACGAGCGCGAAGGACGCCAAGAGACAGGCGGCGACGGCCAAAACGACCGAGAGAATACCGTAGGCGAGCATGTTGTGTATGTACGACAAGGCAAATTCGATAATGCGGCACGGACGTCGATGGTGCGAATGCGAGGGCGAAAATGAGGTACGCGGAGGATGCTGCGCAGACACGCATCTGATTGGCCGACCCACCTTGCACTTGGTCGCAGCGGTTGCCACGTCATGGTGAAAGCTACTCGCATTATGTGCTCGCGTGCGAGACCAAGGTGTTAAAATTTGAAGTGTTCAGCGCCAACAACCGTGGCGTCCAGCCGTGTGGCCATGTCAATCAAGACGCTGCGAGCCAGCCCCCGCCATCGAGGTCGAGGAGGTCGATGGGTGCGCAGAGCATGGAGGTGGTGCCCTCGTGGCAGGTGCTTTGCTGGCGCAGACAGCCCGTGTACGGAGGGATACATGGTGAGTTTTCCGAGCGGTGACACCCCTTCGTGTCCTGGCGGTCCTGTGCCGCGAAGTTCTTCGAACGCGCTCGTCGTGCATGAAGGTTGTTGCCGTCGTAAAGAAGAGAAGCTTCCGCATGTGATCGCTGCTGACGCCATGGCGCTCAAATAAAATGTGGTTGTTGCCAGGGTATGTCGTCGGCTGCCGAGTATCGTATGTCCTCGAGGTGCCAACGCATTCCAACGGGGATGCTCGGCCAAGAATCCATCACATCACACCATGCCATCATCATTCGCTTCACGACGCCTCTACGCCGCGTACGATGGCTCCACTCCAAGTCCGATGAGAACTGACGGCTCGCTTTGAAATGCGCAACAAGCAACTACACACCGTGTGACAGACTCCAATCTCCTATTGGTGCTATCTCTCTCGGCGCTGTCGGGAGGCACCCAGTCAGAAAGGTCAGCGGAAGCCGCTGGGGCTCAAGTAGCTTGTCTTGCGGCCGCTTGCCATCAAATATATGCAGCGGCGCTGGCTCATTGGGCAAACATACCGGTACCGATGCCGTCGGTCTTCTGAAGACGCGAGGTCGTCCAATGACGTCCTTTCAGTATCTACTATTTGCTGTCCGTGTACACGCGAGGAACCGTCGTATTGACGTTCTCACCGTAGACAAGGAGGAATGCTGTCCACTCGGCTTCTCTGCGCTTTCGACCAAGGTGGCGCGCGGCTGACTCGTCGCACCTAATTCCCTTATTCAGTACCAATCGGTTTCACGTCAAGCTTCGAAGTTTGGTTTGGATACCAACATCAAGATGTCCCTATTTGCCGAAGTTATTTACCACCTTCCCTGTCCACCGTTCTGGACACACGCGCTTGTATTACGCGAATTACAAGTGCGTATGACAAGGCCATCGTGTCCAGGAGGCTAGCGTCGCGGCCATGGTCGCTCACACTTGATCTCGCCACGATGCCACCGGCCAAGACCTCGGGCCACTGCGCCATCATCTTTTGTGCTACAGCGTTCGCCTTGTCTGCCGTCGCCATCGGCCTCCCGCGCTGGTCGGCGGGTGCCAACTTTACCGACGGCATTGGCGCGCTTTGCCTCACCAACGTGCCTGGCCGTACGCGCTGCTTGCAATACCACACACGCAATAGCTTGACGCCGTACCCAGGCTCGAGCTTTTGCAGCGTGCCCTCCGACTCGCCGCTTCTTGGCGAGACGGCGACGTGGGCAGGCCTCTCGACGCCGCAGCTCGTCGACCACGTCTCCTCTGCGTGTGGCTTTAATGGCTACGCGCTGATTGCGATGGTGGCGCTCGAGATGGCTATGGGCTTTGTGTCGCTCGTCGCGCTCTTCAACGGTATCTGCTTTGGCCGGCACAAAGGCCCAGCGTTGCCTATTGCAGTTGTCTGCAACGCCGCCGCCTTCCTTGCCGCGATCCTCGTCGTTTGTCTCTACGCCAAGCCCGACGGCGCCTCGTACGATGTTTCATGGTACCTCTTGCTGGCTTCTGCGTTCCTCTACGTCATCTCGCTCATGTGCGGTATCGTCTTTCGCACCACACGCCGCCACGTGGACGCGAACGAGGGCGACGATTTTGCGCATGTCCGCTTAGAGACGCCTACGGGCAGCGTAGTCTAACTTCGCATTTCTTTATTTATCTGTGCGTTGGCTGTTGATAAAGTTTGTCTGCCAATTCTTAGCACAACAATGTGTGTTTCAAGTTCCTCACGGGGAACCATTTCACACTGCATGTTGGTTGACCACCCGTTGCAGGTCGAGCAGCTCGTTTTGTTGAGAGCTCCTTGCTTGGCACACGGGCATCCGCTATGATAAGTCGATGGCCACTCGCCGCCAGCGACGAGGTACGGTCGATCCACGAAAGCTGCGCCATCTCGGTCACGTCGATGTCCAACGTCTGCGGCAGCTTGGCGAGGAGCATGGATGACACAACAATGGCGTATTCGGAGAGGAAAAGATAAGATCGTATCGTCCTATGTGCGTCTTTGGACCCAGAGGTCAAGATGTAGCGAGCGACGAGCGCGCAGCAAGTCCAAAAGAACCGGGCGGCGCAGTTCTGCGGCTCCTCGAGTCACGAGCACGTACACGCTGTGCCGGGAATGCCAGTGACAGGTTACGGGTTGCAACCCTTACCGGGGTTTCCTACCGGCCCATTCACAAGCATTTCGCTTCTCCATATTCGATGGGTCGTGGCACAGCAAAGAGCCAACTTGATGGTTCCGATGACACCAACACCAGTAGCTGAAGCTCCATAGACAGCGATATGTCAGCAAACGCACTCCACAACCACAGCTCGCAACCTTA